TATATATATATATATATATTTATATGTTATTTGTGTAAAGTTTAGAGAAACTTTACATAAATAACATGAGGATAAACAATGAAACACTGAAAAACAGTGCTTTATTCTGCCACTCTACATATCAGAATCATGCTACATATCAATGTCTAAGAATGAATCCTTCTCATGAATGACAGCCCGGTCTATTCGGAACTCAGCAATCAATGCGTCACATTCCTTGGACGCTTATATGTCTTACTAGGCATGGGATGTTCTATTTCAAAAAACACCCGAAGACATTACAACAACTGCTCGCCGACGGGAGCATGTCGTAAATGCAAATACAAGAAATTGATTTGAAAATTGCTAGCATCGCCTGGCTGTTTGTTCGGGATGCACGCTTGAGCAGAAAGCTAAAACTACATTTGATCTACCATCACAACAGCTGCACGCAGGTACAAATCTGGCCTGATGGCAAATAGAGCCTAGTACAAGTCCCGCCTTTAAAACAACTGTTGAAGCTGCTTCATCACGAGTGCTATATTTCTGACCACTTATATTCCCTATATTACTATAATAATAATAACAATGCTTCGTAAAAACATCATATATTTGCACCCATCTCATTTGCGCCGACCTGTCGTCAAAGCTCAGCTAAATGTACCTAATGAATTTGTTTTTTGAACGCTATGGTCCCACTGTCCATTAAGGCGAGACTGTCCTAAATCAACTAATCGATATTGCTTATTTTCGTATGCATAATATTATCCTGCAGTACGACCCCACTGTGCCGTAGGCATATTGACTACGTACCAACTCAGCGTCTAAAAAAGGCTATCCACTCATTCATCTAATCAATTAATCCCTCGTAAGATGTAAAATTTCTTCTTGAGTGACATGCGTATCCAGACATGTGCTCCAGCGGACCAAAGTTCCGACCAAAATGAATGTGGCTCCTTTCGTAAAAGCAGAAATATCGTTTTGGCCAAATGTGCAAAGGGCCAACAAAGAGTTGACTTTATTCCATTTAGATATTCACACTGAGCAGTCGCTAAAATGCCTCCCATCCGCCGAAGTCTACTTTGGATGTGTGCTCAGGAAAAGAGACATCATTTTCGTCTCTATTCATAAGGCAGTAATTTGCTCCTTTGAATGAAGTCAAAGCCTTGACCTGGGGGTTACATCTGTTCTAGGGACATGAGACATCCGTTCGACGCGACTGAACGAAGCTTTTGCTCGTTGATCACATTGGGCTATTGCTAGTGCAAAAATTTGATATCCTGCACTGTGCACGAGCCTTTGTGCATGAGGGTTCTGTGAATTCGGGGAGCTACTGGGTGCTAGTCAGTTGCCCGGCTAGGCGTCGGGGGACTCCGCTTAGTCTTTCCGACTGATCAAGCAGCGTCTCGCAACAACAAGTATGGTTTCGTTCGGCCATCAATTATAGGACTGCAGCAAGAGCTTTCGAGTTGCCATTTCCCCTTCTCGTAAGCCATGTTGAAATCAATATGCGCTACTGCTGGCTATGCTTGCTACTGTTCGTCAGTAAGTAGGTTAGTTTGTCATGCCTACAATCTGTTTTATCCCTAGATGTACCCTTTCGTCCATCTTTCCTAAATAGCCATACAAGTCTGTGCCGAATTTCAGGGAGGTTGGTGCCGATTCCTTTCGAAGACCGTGTTAGTGCCCAGGCCTTTTCTCTCTCACTCATAAAAAACAGATTCTATGGAACTCTGCGAAAGCTCATTTTAGAGAGAGAATTTCGTCTATTCGTTTGCGGTTTTTTCCTATCAGACAATAACAATCTGCTTAGGTACATATGTTTTTCGAGTCAATGAGGTTAAACAGCAATATTTTTAAGTGGCAGTTTGGCTCCGTGACGAGGATAAATCCCATTATTTTAAAAAAATGTTATGCCTTTTCAGGCAGAAAGGCCATCTTGCTCAAGCGTAGCGTCGTCGCCGTTGAGCCTGATACATATGCTAATGACGAAAAACACGCAATGAAGAAGTTGGTTTAACTGTTTTCCGCTAGATCCAATGTGATAATGTTATTTTTTCTTTTCTTTTCGCTATGTATTTCCGTATGATATCGATGAAGTTGAACTAATGAAAATTCTTTACAGCAACAAATCATAAAAAAACAAATTATAATAAATATTCTGTAATACGCTTCGCTACCCTAAGAGCATCGGGCCAAGTCTGGTGGGTCTTGGGGCTGGGCTGCAACTATATATAAAACAGTATTCTTTTTTTCTCATCATTGACGTGTTTACATTACGATGCTATGGAGCAACTTACACCTATGTGTTGCGAAGTCTCGTCGTAGAGTTCTCCATTGGAACTGTATATAGACATGTTAAACCTTTAGCACATTAAGCAGTTCAATGACAAAAGGTCCCTGTAAAAGAACATGATGGTGCGAACTCGATCCTAAACTACAGTACTTCAAATCGATATTTAACTGTATTTATTTTGTGTAATGAAGTACTATTAAGCCGCAAACGAGACCTAAATGATACGCACACATTAGGCAATGTGCCAATCCACGTAGTTCTCGTTTAAGCATCAAAAACAACACCTATGCACTTTCTCTTACGCTACGCTACTCTACGAGCGAGTAAAGATAAACTTCTCAACTTAAACTTGACAGGTAGTAAGGTGCCAATATTCAACTCACAGTAGGTGTCGTTGACAAGCTCCTTGATGAGTTCTTTCTTGAGCTTGGAGTTCTTTTTGCCCATCTTTATTCGACACCACCCACACCAAACACGCACTAACTTAGCCAAAGTTACTCCCGCCGTACTGCTACACTGCAACACCACTAACTTACAAGAACTTCAACAACTGACTGTTCAATAAAATTGCGAATTTATTGCCAACTTCTTGTCGTTCCAAAGGCCGCAACTGCATCCACTTTAACAAGTGCTACGTAATATCCGCTTAAAAGTCGCTACTTGCTCACTATCAAAAGTACCTATCAAACAACTTTTCAGTTCCGCCTGTCACGAACTCGTCCACAAAAGTGAACGCTCGAACTGCAGTTCCTTGCACAGTGATATCGTCTTCTTTGTTCGGCGCACTTCTGTCTTTGAAAGGCGGCGTCGGCCGACTTTCCCTAGGAAAAAACGCAACTTTACTCTGAGTTGTTTATGCCTGTCGATGTTGTCTTCGGAGTGTCGTCGTTTCTTTCAGTATTATTAATGCACTTGGAATTGTGTAAGGGGTTTCCTGCTGTTAATTGCTGTCAGCACTTAATTTGCGATTGTTGTTGTGGCTTAAAGCTCTGTTTGTCCGCAGCGGTGATGCACGTTGCGAAGATGGCAGGCACTCAGCAAGGCCGGTAACGGCTGTGCTGGATGACCTGTACTCGCCGAGTTAGCCATGCAACGCAGGGCACAACCAGTCGCCGGTAGCACGGTTTTACAAGTCCGTCGTCCAGGGGGCGCTCGTGGAGCACGTGTTACGGGAGAGGGCAGCCAAGGGCACGGAATGAGAAAGGGTTATTGCAGGTGCAAAGCGACTGGACCTGCGGTTTAAACCCAGGTCCTTCATTCGTTGCCTTAAACGCAATTTAGAATACTCAAATAGAAAATCAACCCAAAAGAGCTCCTCGTCGTCATAAAGCAGCGTGCACGGCTGACGAAACCCTAGCCTAAAAAAAGATACAAGTGAGTTAAGTGTTTCGTGTAAGCACTTCGGTATGTATTTCGGCGTAATCCATTTTGGAACAGTGCGCCTGTTTTTAACGAAAGAAAACGTAAATGTCGACGAGAGTGGCTTCTGCGACAACTTCTCATTCTGCTAAATAAAAAGCTCTAATAGCAATATGGTGTGCAAAGTAGTTATCTAAAATCGAAATGAATAAAAGTGATCCTCAACATGGAAATCAAGAGGAATTAGGACTCATAGCGAGCTTCAAACATTAACAAAAACGGTAATTGCATCAAAAATTCCGCCTAACTGCAACCACGAGTTTTTATAGTCGAGACTCGAACTTCATGTCCCACAGCAGTTTTCATCTGGTATTACGTATTCATTTGATCAATTTAATCAAACAGTTAGCAAAACCAGTTAATCTATGTTTGATATATAACTAAGTCTATCGCCACCGAACATCTAATTTGATTAGACATTGCGGGATATACTCACCAAGGTTGTAGTTAAAGGTCCATAAAGTAACCGGCCACATTTTATAATATAACATATATGGATAGTAATGATAGATTTGGGTTGAGACCATTATATGTTAGACGACCAAGCACCGACGATTACTTAGGGAGAATCATTTCAAATAATCGCCCAGTAAAACTTAAATTCAAGTGCAAGTCTAAGTCAAACTGGCCATCTGCTGTTGAAGAAGATATTCTTTCTGAGAGCGACAAGGCGGGTTAACATTTACAACTCATAACATGATTTAATGGCCGGAGAGCTTGCAATTTTATCTAACTTCAATTTTATCAATTGCCATTGAACTCAAGCGAGTGTAAGGTTTTTTTTTAATTGCACGGCCAACGAGTCCATTTCAACGATACACTGGTCAGTAGAACGTTAGCCCCTTGAAGGTACGCAAGGAGGACACAAGACGATTGCTCGGTATGTTAGAGTACTACGAAGACCAGCCCAAAACTGACTTAGAGCGTTATGTGCCTTCAATAGTATTACGGTCGAACGAATCACTTCGCCCATGCCAGAGCTTTCGCCTGCATCATCAACAGATTTAGCGTAGTATGTTGATATTAACATGGCGCTGGAGTGCCCCTACACGTTAAACAGACAATAAAATGTATGTTACAAACAGACAAGCTACTTCTTTTTAAATTTTTTATTTATTCTTTTTCGTGCATCAGTTATTGTATGTTTGATTACATTTTACGTCCTGAATCAGCGTATTTTCGATAAACTTATTTTCAGGTAATTTATGTTTTCTTCACTGCGTTGTTTCAGTATTCGAAATTTTCGTTAGAAGCCAAATTACATCTAATAAGTTTCTTGTCGTAGTTTATAGACCAAACGCGTTGTACAATAGGCCCAACGGGCATTGTACGAAATGGTATGTGAGATAAGGTCAGTTTTAGGCCAACCAAGAAAGAAAACCAAAGTTTGTTTATGCTTGTGTTTGTAATGCGTCGCTTCCTGACTGCCATGGCTGTGTCTAACCTAAATGCTAACCTGCGTTTCCTTTGATGATTATCTAGAAATAGAATATTTACAAACACCTTAGAATCAATCATGCGTATGTTAGGACTTGATCTAGCCCTTTCCACCAACTCTATCGCAATAGTGCCTAGAATACGTTACAGCCAAAGGCTGTAAAATATTGCGGACGGAACATCGGCCTAAGAAGTAACTCATCTCGCCGCCAAATTCTCACCTATGAGCCTGGCAATCAGATCATTTATCGAATATTATGTTGCTTTTTGAGATGCGCACAATAAAAGTAGGTGACTGTTGTATATCAGATAACACTGCCCATAACGGAGGTCACATTCACGCATTGTTTCTATATAAATCGTACGAAGCAATATGGCTCGAGTGACTGGCTTTTCTGAATAAGTTGCATAATAAAATTTTCGCATCAACTAAACTCTGTCTAATTCGCTCGATGGCTTAACAAGCAACATCTTTGTGACTCCATGAAATGCAGCTTTTCCCCTATCTTTAAATCAGACTGCCTGCCGCCTTGCAAAATACCTGCTCGCATTATATCATCCAAGCCAGATATACGAGCTGCTACGATGTACTTCGTGCGGTTTCGTGGGTTTTTAGCCATTCGTCGGATTCCTCGCATAGAACACCGACGACTGAGCTTGTCTTGACTTCGGTCTTTGTCTTCCCTTAAGAATCTACCTTCCTCACTCGTATTCCTCCCTCGAGGAAGACGCTTAACGGATAGCTGACGATAGCCGTTCCGTTTTTCTTTCCATGGCTTTTTCGTAGGAAAAAGAAAAACTGTAGAAAAAATCCTTTATTGTTGGCTCTCCTATTATTAGCTATACTGCAGAACCTGTAACAACGACAACGTATAGCAAACTCTTTGGGGACGCTAAAAACACGCTTGTTTCCATTTTTTGGGGCCAACCGTTCCGCACCATGATAAATATGTTCTCGACGAATGCCAGCAAGCGTCTAGTGTAGGGCCCAGCTGCGTCGGAGCGGACCGAAAAGGCCTATGAACAAATCGCAATTCCGCTACTCCGGACGGAGAGCATCGCTTAACTTAATGGATGGAGGAGTTGCATTCTATAAGAGCGCTATTTTGATGCTAATGCGCTACGTAATTTATTTGAATGTGTATAGGCTACTCAAAATCATTTCCAAGAGGGTGGACGAAAGAAAAAACTAACGGCAGTTTGTGAAGTTAAACGTACTCTACTCCCTTCTTTTGTTACTAGAACCACGTCTCTTTATAGCGCAAAGAATGCATTCCTGCGAGGCATATATATATCAATTCATAGCTGTTTCAACACAAGCGTAAACTATGATAACACTAAGGTTCTAGTGAATACTGCCAAACCTTTTTCGATTTGCAACTATGCGGTTTGTCGTGTTCGCAGACCCGTCCAACGTTAGACGCGCATCCACAACACTGAGCGAATAACGTTTGATACAGCAGGGCGCGAGGATTCGTAAGCCTTTTAGGACGCAGGCATGCCTTACGGGAAAATATCAAGGTAAGTTGTTTCATTGTGTTTACGTTTCTCTTATGCAACTGTCGCGTGCGCCCTTGGCGACACCTTTTACCAGAGCAAGTTTCAGGCGTGTGAAGATTAATTAACTAAAATGCCCATTCCAGGATTTTATATCAAGCCAAGCGTGCCATAGAGAAGGGGATCTAATACAGCTAAAATTACAGCGTAAAGCATACTCCGAGAACAAAAACTGTAAGATCTTGTTAAGTTTCAACTTGGACAGGTGCATACAATTTACTAAGATCACAGTTCGTTTTGTTCAGTAGGAACAACTCGAGCGAGAAAGCCAATTTTACTGCTTCTACGACTTCGATTAACCGAGGCAGGCGGTAGGGCTTAGAAGCGGATGGAAATGGGCAACAAAGATAATAATATATCAGTTTAATACTCTTGCCATGAAATGGTGCTATGGCAAGTTACTGTGTCGCGCTACGCAGGTAAGCCGGATTTCAGACATCCATTATGTATATATAGGTATCTATCACCCATACGTTTTCCGAAACACAGCGACACAGCAAACACTCGGTCACGGAAAACTTATTAAATCTATTAGAACAGCAGTCGATTACGGTCGCTTATTTTATTGTCAAACGTGGCATCTTCTGTACAATCGGCCTCTAAACGTAAGATAACGGATGGCTTCAATCGGAATCGACCGGGGAAACGCGCTAGTCCATTTACTAGGCGAAGAAAAAACAGCGATTTTCAAAAAAGTAGCCGGACCGGCAGGCTGAATGTTTGTGTCTCTGTGCAGGCGTATACACACCTTCCTTTGACAATAGAACGATATTATCGTTTGTAAAAAAAAACGTCCTGCTTCCTCCGACGCCGCTTGAAGGCTGTGAGCAGGCGACGGCTCTCCGGGAGTCTTAGCATCTATTTTTTACGGCGCCTACCACAGCTAAAAATCTTTGTGGGCGGGTTCTTCGGTGTATCGCTAGAAACGCCCGAAAATGGTAAAGGGGGTAAGCTAATGTCGGAGTTACACTAGGCCTGTGCACGGTATGTCGCCTGCTGTGATTCTAGCACCGGCTCCGAGTTACTTCCAGACGACGATTGGGGATGGACGAAGAGATGAAGGCTAGTAGGCTTTACACGCTCATTTACTGGCACACTGCCTTGTGTCCTATTGGTTTGACAAAGGCCCCTTTTGAGGAAGTTTTTTAGCACAAAAGCAAGGAGAACAAAGCATCCGGCTGCTCGCGCAATAACGGTGTCTAGTCGGCCCAGTGACAAAGACGCTGCTGCGTCGCTGCTACGAACCATGAGATTGCGCTTTCCCGTACGAACAAAAAGGACATTCTTAGATGTGTGCAGAAACTGCTGTTTAACTTCGCGGCAATCACCTATATAGCCAGCAGTAGCTTACTTGAGCTAGAAAATATATCTTTAAACTCGATTAGATCTCTTTATTATTACTAAGACGTCGAGGAACTTAACAACTCAAATAGTAAGATATTCATTAAACTGAGGCGTGGTTTAGTAAGAGCAACAAAACTACTCATGCCGATTTTTTTCTTTTAAAGGATCTCTATTTTTCATTAAAAGAATTACCAGTGCTTAAGTTATTGCAGTGATAAACTAGTGTCTTGAACTTAGTCGAAAACGTATTCGTTAGTACACAAATTGTGTGTGTTGCTGTAAACACAAAAACAAAATGGTTTTAGTATATTGATAGAAAAAGTAATGCAACTAACGAATCTATGAGAAACTACCGAGTACGATGTCTATTTATTCTATAGGTCCATACAGATGTGCAGTAAAATGTGTTAACATTATTTGCTCTACATGTAGAAGTGATAACCGAATAGACATAACCCTGCTCCTCGAATTAGTATTAGTAGTGCCCACAAAAATGTATATTAGTAACATTAATAACAACGGCCAACCGAACTATTACGTTATACTGAACCATAAAGATCTGTTCTGTGATATTACGGCGTAAAACTTTTTTCATTTCAGCAAGGAATATTCTAACTTACTGGTGACCAATACGTAGACGATAAAAAATTCCGAATCTTTGCCAATATCAACTGTAAATACCAATATAGTATAAGCTAACTACGTTTTATGTGTTGCCAAAAGTTCCTCGGTTCAATTGTGGTACGAGTCATATGGTTCAACTTCTGTTACCCGAAGCACGAAGTCCAACCAAGCAGTTGATAGCTATTGTCACTTCTAGAAGCTTCTATGCTACATAACTATATCCGGCCTTTTTAAGGTTCGCTACACTTTCACGTCAACAAAAGTTAAGTCATTGGGATGACTCTCCCTAGACATTTCTATGGCAATTAGACTTAGCTACCTGTTGATGTGAGTCTTGTAGAAACACTATAATGTAAAGAGAAGGCAACTATACGTAGATAAGGGAAACACATATAGTAGTACGATGAATAACTTTTTTTACTCTTATATTAATAATGCCCAGTACTAGGCCGGCTGCATCCTGGACTTTACCTCTAACGCGTTTCAGACTAAAATTAGAGCACGTATTCAGTATCTCCATGCTAAGCATGCAAACACTAAGATGTAGTGTGCTGCATATAGATACAAGGTACATTATATAAAGATCGTTAGTTAGCAGGCCTCACGAAGATATGGCAGAAGCCACTTGCTCAACCTGGCAGTAAGTTTGGACTTCGAATAACAGCGGTTGATAAATCACTGGGGTTCATTTTGTCATTTATCTTTATCTTTACATCTTTACTAGATTCGATCAGATACTTTATCGAATAGCTTTGTAGTTGTTGGCGTTATTTTTTATGGGAAGCCCTATCCCCGATTGTGTCAAACTCCGCCCGATCTTCATTTACATAAACTTTACAACCATAAAACACATTCTTCAACACAAGCCTTTTACTCTACGATACTCTTTTAGCGATAATATATCTATTGATCCTATATACCCCAATAATATATGAAAACAAACTAGATCTAAAGCTTAATTTTTGGAAATCTCTAGCCAAGAATGTTTGTCGCCAAAATAGTAGATGGATTATAACGCAGTCCTAAAATACAATATATCCAACGGCCAAACTGTTTTTCTACTTCCTAAATGCACCAGAGCTTTTGATATCTTCTAAAAATTCAGGGTATTTTAGCCACCACCGCAATGCTCGTGACGAGTGAGACGAATCTAATGTTTCGAATTTTAGGCTGTTTTACGGTAATCAATTCAGTCGATTATTTTTCTTGTCCTGTTGTACTGTTTTGCGCCTAGCATTGAAGCTAGGCCATCTTATATTGGCCTAGATTAAATAAGTACTGTTACTAAACTACCGTAAAGACTACTGACAGGCACCGTTCGAGGTTCAGAGCTCCGTCGATCCTAACTTGTAAGTGCAGTAAAGCGTTAAAATAACTAAGTAACATTAACATATGTTTGCGCATTGGTAATATCCGTCATACTACATCAGCGCGAACGCCCTGTATACATACGAATTACTAACTAGATTCAGATGTTAAAACTTATACACACATAATAGCACGTAAATTTTGACTAACGACAAAACGAAATACGCGATGGCTAAATTCGAAACGATGGGCGCAATGGCGGGAGCTTGAAACTACCATAGAGGTCACGGCTCTAGTCCTGCGAGGCACGTCCACGCAGTTTAGCACTTGCATACTTATTGCTTTTTTTATTTCTTTCTCCTAGCTGATTTTCGATACGTATGTGCCGCTTATGGCTGTTTTCGAAGAAAGACGATCTTACATTTTAACCACTGTCACTTATATCTGGTAGCAATTGCTACATGGATTGTACTTATATACTGCTGGTGGACGCTATGTACTAGCTTGTCGCTAGGTGTCGCTACTATGTATTGGGTATACTTCGAATAATTGTTCCACATAATTGGTATTGGGCCTTACGTGGCCGTCAAGATATATTTCATACATCTACACGACATGGGCACACCTCTTTTTCTAGCGTTCTAATAAACGTGCCCAAAATTAGGTCTTTGAGGACGAGACATACGCACAAGGCTAACTACATAGATGTCGTCCCTAACGTTGAACAAACATCGTCCGCAATGCCTAGTAGGCGTGTTATCTTAAACGCTGAAGAAAATTTACTTCCGGTAGCAGAAGTCCTAACGTGTAATCATAGATCATGTAACGAATTCCTTCACAGTTAGTGGGGTGGGCATAACAGCATAGCCGTTAGAAACTAGTAGCGCATTCATATGGTTGGACAGTCAATTCAAGACTATTTTGTACTACATTTCCTGTCATCTAAGCATAATTCAAATTTCTGTAGCCTAAAATCGCAGCGTCGTAACCGCCGGCGTTAATTTGTCACTAGACTTTGCCCTGTTGCTTGTGAAATAGTTGGCTACACATGGAGGGATGTGTTATGGGATGTCAGGCATAATTGTTGTTGTTCTCGTTAAACAGGGGTATGATAAAGGGCCACACATTCATTTTAAATATGTAAATTGCATAGGACTTCTGACGAATCGGCTGAGGCCGAAGTCGCGAGGGGGCCGGCTAAATAAGAACGGCTATTTCGCCCTATCGTTAGTTCAGAAAAAAAAGAACTCCCAACTTGATATAACTGCACAAAAGTGTTTGGTTGTTTTCATTTATACGCTACGCTGCCTTCATCGCTAAATTGCTATAAGTTTAACTACAGAAAACACGGAAACACCTAAAAGCGATGCAGGTCAAACGGAACTATAATGAACAGCTTTATTTATTATAATCCGTACCGTTGTAAACTATAAAAGGTGCGCAGTTGGCCTTAAATTGCTTTGTTCGCTGCAATGTTAACAGTCTTCCTTATATGCTTACTTCAGTAGCGTCTATAAGAAACTACGCGTAATGATATGACAACGTAGAACCCATTCACAATTATTGAGTCAAAAAAATGTGTTCCATTCAGATAACTTCTGGTAACTTCCCTCACTTGAGACGAAAATCAGTTTTGCCCTGTGGGGTACTAAGATTTTGTCTGACTGTGCACCTCAACAAAAGTCAATATTCTCCTGTTGCTGTTACTCAATAGCTGCAAAATGCATTGTATCTCTCATAGGGCGAGTCACATACGGATTTCACAGGAGATAGGTTAGCTTATAAGGAATATAACAAGCGCCGAAATTGATCGTGACCTATGTCTGTGTATTATCGCATTTTAGTGCCGTGATTATTATTTTTAATGTTATTAAAAGATGAAGTTTTTTCAGCATGGGTATAACAACGAAATGTTGCGAAACTTCCTCCGTTGGTCTCAGATTAAATACACTTCCTACAATGGTATTGACAAAAAAAGTTGGACACCTAATTTAGTCACATATATTAGAAGGAGCCATGTTCCTATTTGTTTTCTATTCAGAAAAACGAAGTTTCTCCTGAGCCTGAAAGTTTGACTATTTTGCAGAGCGTCAAGACGACCTGCTATACGTGCAAAGTCGTCGTTTCGTTCGGAATAAGATTGCCACTGTGGTAACCTGCTACTCAGCGTCTATTCCTCCTGTTATAATGAAGGGGAACTTTTAATAGTATCGCATTTATCGTTCGAAGTCCTCGGGGCCGTATCATGACTAGTCACACCGGTTTTGAATGTGACAGATCGATGCCGGTTACTTTTGGGGCTAGAAAGCTTTTCGTTTGTAGTCACGGATGCATTGTTCACAACCTCATTATCCGCCGTAACTCTAGCGTATGAATCAAGCGATGATGCGTCCGCCTCGTGGACATCAGCGTTTCTTCGTCGGTCGTGAGTGTTATTTGAAATTTCTTTTGCATCCGGCGTCTGTTTTTCTCTCCAAACCTTCTCGGGAGATGCAACGGAATCATTCTGGACATCGCGACTTAGCTTGATTGTGCTAGATTTACCCACATTATTGGCGTTAGTTCGGTAAACTGTAGCAGTGCCCAATAATTCACACTTGGAACGTCCTATTGACCGCCTTGGGATGCGTCGAACCTGCTCCTGCTTTATTATAGCTGGTCTTTGATGATTCTGTGTCACTTTCGACTTGGCGTCATGTTTACGGACACGCCAACATTCGGTTTCAGCAATTTTTTGTTCTAGTGACGATTTCTTGTTCAGGTACTTGGGCTTCCCAGATCGGCACCTGGACCTTCTTTGATTATATCCATCGTTAGCGGTTCTCGGTATCTCCAGACGACTGAAAGCGATAGTGAGCGATCTTTTAGTCTCCTTAAACAATCTGACGCTTCAACCAAATCCATAGACCGTTTAGGTTTCGTAACGTAGATAAAGCTCTAAATTATTAAGGGTCAGTGATATGAGATAAACCCACTACAACCTGTCAGAACTATACCCAATTCATCCAGAGCAACACGTGCTAAACATGTCTACCAGATCACTTAACGCAAGCGCTTCGGAACTGTTTAAAATGGAGCGGACTGCAGCTTTACAAACTATTCTTATAGCTTATTAGAAAACTGCATTATTATAAACTTTTCTACCTCTAGAAACGACGAACCCATACGTCGGGGTACAAACAGCTAAGAATGAGTCAAACTATAGTCAGTTAACCTGTTCCGCCCATTTGGAAAAGCCGCAGATGTGCCCCATGACCTGGCTTCCCGTAGAACAGAAGGGCGTACTTCAGAGCCGCTGACAGAAATGGAAGAACGTCTATGACGAGGAACAATCAGATGAGTTATTCGCCTAGGGAGCCCCGGATTTAGAATTCGGTTATGGATAACTTCCCTTGGCCTTCTGAAGTCATCGTTTCGCATTTCTGCTCTTTTTAACCGCTCAAGGTTTTCGTAACTCTCCTGCGGCCTTCTGGAAGAAGGCCGAGCACCGAGATGGCTTCCAAAGATGCGTTTGTCCTTTAGACATTTTTTCATCTGCTGATTATCGTGTCCATGACCACAGGCAAACTCAACGGTTCCCCCAGCATCGTTCAGTGCCAATTGACCTCTTACCGAATCGCTATGCTGTTCTTCTGTCCATAACGGACCAGCGTACTCGCTGCTTAAGACAACACAGAACAGGCAACAAATAGACATTTTCATGTTTGTATTTCTCATACGGATCGAATTTAAGAGAAAATAATTTGAAAGAACTAAGGAAAATTAAAAACTATTTTAAACTCGAAATTGTTCGCAAGTAAGGCATCACCGATAGATATACACACCTTTGTAATAGAAAATAAGTTCGTCCATCAACATGAACACTGCGATATTTACTCTTATCATACTTAAGGCGTGGAGGTACTTTTGTTAGATCTTCAGTTAAGAACAAGTGATTAAGAGTCGGGACACGAGGTGCACCACATCGGCAATATGCCGGTCCTGAAGGAGTGGTCTTCAGGCGAGCGGAGTCGCGAACAGTGTGCTTTTCATTCATGCAGCCGCAGTGAGTTCCAGGACATTCTGATGAGTATAGCCACTCCGACTGGCATACTGGTACAAAATTCTGACCTAGGCACGTATAAAGCCCTCTTGAAGACATCATCCTGTTATTATTGATCAACACGTCTCGATCAAGTTGTATTTGATTTCAATACTATACCTATTTAGATTGAGCTTCGTTTCTACCCGTAAACAACAACGTATGGTCAGTGGAGTATCTAGTTACGGTTTTTTAGAGGTCTATCTTGTGTGAGTCGAGTGTGAAGCTCGGTTGAATTCACTAATTATGAATAATTCTCCCATTTAACCCAGATACAGCACTGTGTGCCATGCCGTTCAGCGACCCATCCTTTTTCCTTCAATATCTCTTGTGCCCGAGTCTCACCTGCTGCTATCCAGTTACGGTTGCCTTTTATTCGCCAGTCAATTATTTGCTTTTGCAAATAATTGACTGGCGAAACTGTTTAATAGATTGAAGTCGCCGAAGGAAGTGACCTCAGTAAGGGATCTTGTGCATGAAACGGAATATCCACAACGGCTAAGTTGTCCATTGAAAGTAAGCAGTACAAAGCTTTTCCAGCTAGGAGTGACTGTAGCTATGCACTTATATAATTACTTCCGTTCATTCTTGACTAAATGGGCACATTTTTCTTTGAAACTTCCCGCCAAATTTCAATAGCTATCAAATATTTCGGCAAATTATTTCCAGCGGATCGTCTGTCTTGCGTTTATTTTGCCCTCTACAAGCCTTCGCGAGTATGAACTTCCCTTAGATATTGCGGGCTGATCATTTTTTTTGCTGGTAGACCCTTCGATATTATTCCTTCATCTGAAGCAGCGTTTTGGCTTCTACCCCGCTTCGTTGCTTTCATTTTCATATTGACACTCGAGGAACATTGCCCCTATATACTTTTCGAAAGAAGTTCCGTTATGTCCGCAGATGGAAGCCGTCGTCAAACCTGAGCCTTATTTAGGGGGCAGATTAAAGCTTCCTTGAGTCTTGCGCTAAAATTTGTTATGGCTTTCACAAAAATCCTTATTAGGTTCTGTCAGCTAGCTTTAGGATTTTGTCGATAGGGATGGGCTTATATAGATTATCTGTGCGAACCTGTATCTGAACTACGTCGGTTATGATACCATCGTAAAAATTGCCTGTTTCTGCTCGTCCTAAAAAACCACAATATTGTTGTTATTTTGAGCGTGTCGCAAATCAATACTCGTCTAGAGTACTTATTTATTTGGCATCTTTAAACAACTAATAAAATTTTATAAAAACACAGTTGTCTTCATGGAATAGCAAGACTGATAGACGTAGAATAGAATTTCGGAAAAGGTGTTGTGTAATGCGAATGTACCGTTTAGCCGATAGAAACGCAGAGGTGGCAAAGTGGCTCACGACTCACGGCGGCCAATGGAGCTTTCTCATAGCCAGGAACGTTAAAATGGTAAATCACTTAACTGCTTCACTTGACCCCTTTTTAGTGTAGTATAAGAAACAACCGTAACAACGACATAGAACGTTAAATGGTAAGATGTGGACCTCTGGCTGTAGATCCGAACCATACAGAATTGTGTTACAATGCTATAATACACTTGTTTCCACAAGCCTCTTTTGCTGCGGGCATATATAATGATGCGTGTTCGACATTCCCAAGCTGCGTCCCGTCAAATCTCGCTGTTACAAAGACAAAAAAGATCAGAAAGTACTGAAACATGTCAACCAACGTTCTTATATATATTGTTCCATTGATAAAGTTGTGTTAGTTACCTTTCAAGGACAGCATAGCTCAACAAAGTTAGCTTAGCAAAACGGTAGGGACAATAATTAGACAGGAATAGGGCGGAATCAATCCCGTTTGCTATGACACAAAAGGCTGCTACATGATAAAATAACTTATCCATCTCTGTCAAATACCAATTTAAACAGAATAGTTAATTAATCAGAAATTGATATGCTCACATGTGAACATATCCTACACATTGTATGAGCGGAATTCGTAATTGCATGTCGCGTAGTACATCTGTTATTTTTTCAAGGCATACTAATAGCTTTATAGTTGAAAAAACAACAATAAATATTTTACCTTTCGGGTCTGCTTGTCACTTTACAACCCCTCGTTATCCTTTCTAACCTTCATAATTTTGATCACATAATCTAGTCGAACACTAACAGCAGAAGACGACTACCAGCCATGCCCTTTTAGAGCATCATAACATGATGTGACCGCATGTTGTCATAATTTCACATGAAAATGCGTGATATGGATAGATAAATTATATTACGGCCAAAGGCTTGATCGTCTTCCTCCCTATCCCTGGCCGCCTTGTATCTGCAATCGTTTCTGGTTGGTCCGCGACATCACAGCTAAGGATTGCTGAGCTGTCCTACGGAGCCTGAGAAGGCGAGCTCTTCGCGCCTTAACCTTTTTCCATACGTTCAAGCCTCCATTTAGCCTGTATCTGTGCAAGCAGTCTGTCTAGTCCTTTCTGATAGCAAACACCTAGGTTACTTTTCACAGCCTGTTTTGATGTGCGTTCGCCCGTTCGGGACAATTGCCTCAATGCCCGTAATTCATTCATCCAGCCAGAGTGAAAGACACCAAAACATTTTGAGGCCCGCCGCACTGTACTGCTATATACAGCGGGTGTGAACAGGAAACTGCTCTCGCTAACGGGTCGATTGCCGTCTGCCCCCGGTACTGGTGGCCTCGTAGTGGCAATAAGGCGCCCAGTGCCCCTGGTGCCTGACTTTCTTTGTCTGTATAGTCGGAGCCTGCGCGAGAGAGTGAGTGAGTGAGAGGAAGGGCTTAGCTAGATGGCTAGCTCTAGAAGTAGCAGTAGTCACTATCTAGCTGCCTACCTTTATGTTCATAGTGGTGTCTACAAGGTGGTGATGCCGTTGCTTTGTTCAGGTATCGGGTATTACTGTCGAAGAATCAGTGGAGCGCTCGTAAGCGCGCAGAAGAGATATTTCCTTCACTGTTGATTTCGCTGTTGCCACTATCACCCATGTAATCGTAATGAAAGGATAATTATAATAGTTTGTCATTACTCTGTGTGTTTCGGTGTCGTGCTAGCTCATAGGCTGGGGCGCCGTTCTATCTGTGTGCGAAAAAAAAAAGGAAAAAAAGAAACATTCGATTTTATTTAATAGAAGAAATTCTGATTGAGTGTAAAACGAGAATAGAGCAGCAGTACGGATCAGTCAGCGCCGCTTGCGTGGAGCCGAGTCGTCTATAGAAAACGGACTATGAATAATACCGGAGAAATCACCGATAATTGGCGAAGCTCGTTTCACGTTTACTACTATGGATAATCAATCCACTGAACAATCTGCGCAGACGATCCAGGAGCGATCGCAAACAGTAAGTACCGGCCGCATTGGAATTCTATATAATGTGAATTTCGCGCACTTTCTCTAGAAAAACTCACGCACTCTTTGTAGGAGCAAATTGAGGGACGTACTGTCTCTGCGCTGGTGGAGATGCAAAGGAAAGCGTGCTCGACACTCTCTTCCCTTTGGCGTCCTTTGTCATGGAGTAACTACTGGCTATAGCTGCAGAATAATGATGACAGCGTAAAATAGGCAATTAACGATTCCGCCTCAATAGGCACGCAGTCTAGTGATTCGGTTCCGTTCTGTCATTGTTGTTGTAACCACCGTAGCTTGAAAGCAGTATTTCGAAACAACTATACGCTCAGATATCGATGCCGTCGGGGAGAACTGGCTATGAGCGAACGAACCGAAAGACGAATGGAAAATACTTGAAGGGATCAATGAAGAAAAGCGTAGCGACTGCCGATAGCGAGCAATGAAGATGACGCTACCTTGCCAACCGCGTTACTATTACAGTTTACCACGTTGTTAGAAATAGCTATCAATGCCAATAAGCGTGCGGATGCGCGCCACGTGAATCTGCCAGCAGGACGAATCAATTCCAGTTATGGACAAGCTTTGAATTTATGCAGCAGCTTGCCATGGTTAACGTATCATAGACACCTGTCGATGGGGTGACTTGGTAGGCCAAACTTTTTCTGTAAGGGAGCAGGGATTGCAGCTTCAAGTTTGGCCAACGATAAACGCGCTGAACAAGCTGTGTAAATAGGAAAAAAAAAAAGCTGCTTACGCACTGACTTATGTGGTATGGTTAACACATATTCGTTAGATTTAAGGTCGAAAGACCTAGTGCACGTACACGCTGAACGTATGCATAGAGCTACATTTGGTGGATCATGTACAGTATGTGTACTGAGTTCAACTAGTATAGAGGTGGCAAGTCGTAAAACATGCGGTGATACGCACCGAGCCCCTGGACGTTATGTGCGATGCTAGATTTCTGTTCATAATATCTGTCTGGATTATCTACGGGATTTGCGACTATTTGATTTTATTGAATAAAAATTTAACTACTTGCAGTTACCTAATATAGTATAATTTAATAAGACACCGATAAAAGTAAGCCTAATTTTATTAACATAGTATGAGTCGGCGGCGCCACTTGAGATTCCCGATTATAGTTGACACTTGATTGTTCGGATCATGGTGTCACACATAATTTCTTTATAACAACTTTATCCTAATCGATTCTTAATCCAACTAGAGCGGGAAGCCATTTCTGGATTGATTTGTTCTTATTAAACCTTGCTAATATGTTCCAAACTGAATTCTATTGAGGATCTTTGGATTGGGGAGCAGGGGTCATTCTTGAACCTTTCAGAAGCTACATGACAATCGGCAGTAATGCAGGCTGTCGAAGGACTTGCAAAAATTTTCCTCAATTTGAAACCTGCTAATATCTCCGCAGGCCTATATTCGCCAACTATAGGTAAACATAGTATATATAAAATGGATTATGTTAGGTTCAGCTAATTTGGCTTAGAAACGACCAAACTGTATTTTGCTGGTGTAGCATCCTCTTATTTAGCCGGCAGGGGACTTGAGAGCTAATAGTGTTCCTGTCAAAATCATCGTAAATAGGTATCAAAACAGCTTCCCAACAATGATCAATTAGAGTAGGACGAAATTATTTTAGTTGGAGTTACCGTGGCTGACAGCCCATTGAGATAAAAGCTCACAGAGCAGTTGCAAAGGGCGAATAAATTCGACTAACTATATCGAAGCATACTGCGAAAAAATTATCCTGTTGGTCCTGTTTTCCTGATCCCTATTATTATTATGAGTGGAATAAAAATGATCGCGTAATAGACAAGGACTTGGATTTCTCATGTATATTGAAATCCCATAGATGTTTGCTAATCTCGTATCGTTAATAAAAATTATATGGAAAATCTATACTTCGCAACGTGTTTGATTCTTTTTCCAGTTAGGGTCAAATTACGAGTTGGAAGTTATATTAATTTCAGTAGGATTTATCTTATCCCTATATAACCAATTTAAATTGATTTTCTACTATAAATGACACTGTATAAGTATATAATTCAGCTCAGCTGGGTTAACTCAACTGTAAACACGAATTTAAAACTTCTTTTAACTTACTGCGTGTAGCACATCCAAGCCGAACTTTATTGGTCTAATTTGAAACATGATTGACAGTACTGGAATGTGTCTCATACGGACCGTAGCGATAATCATTAAGTAATCGGACGCAATTACGTTAGGTACGTCCTTGATTTATGGAGGTTTGCGTAGGTATAAAACTAAGTCCTGACTAATCGTCGACGTGACAGCAGTGAAGGCGGGCCGGAATTATGGAAGAAATCCGGTGGAGGACGAGTGAGGTGTTTTTGACTTTAAACACAGGCGACTGCCCTAAGTGAGAATTAACAAAAGTGCCTAATCTAAAATAATTGGTAAAGTCTTTGATAGGGCTGCCTTAGGTCATTTCTTAATCCATATAAATTTGGCATTGTACGTGCATACTAACTGGCAGTGCTGACATTTAACAGCGCTACGGCTAACAGAATCGAGGTAAAGACTGTGTTAATAACAGGAAGTGTAATCAGTTTTGAAAAAACGTTTTCTCAGTAGTTAGCTGCTATTCAGCGCTGTTCGTTGCCACAAGATGGACAATAGGAGACATTTCTATGTGGGTCCTTTATGCCCAACTACGTATATTACCATCGTTGAGCAAACAACGGAAGTGTCTAAATTCATCGTTAGCCTTACCAGACTGACTTCATACTATATCTTGTTCGTACTTCTACGCTTTCTAAAGAACGGTTTTTGGCCGTTCGAGTAAACATTACACGTACAGCATATACGAGTAGATGGCCAAGCGTATACTTGCGTTGAAGATATACATGTAAAGTTTAAAAGAGATAATTTACGCGTAAAAATAGAAGGTTATTTGCAGACGATACTTTATTGACGAATAACAATAGTGGCAAAGTAGGCTGCGGAGCAAATCCATAATATAAAAATGTTTATTAATGCTCGTTACACAAACAGTTCGACATCAGTAGCTCGCGAATAGAACGGTAACTATGTAAATATCAGGCTGTTTTTATTCGGCGGAGTACTTGCTATAGCATGGTAACCTATGACAGCGTCCGATGAGATTGGAGTGAGACCAGATTATATATCATAATCTGTAACGCTGAACAAAGTGACGATCTTCGGGAGAATCGTTGTGAAGCGATTTTGAATTTTAAGGTTTTAGCCTTATACGGATTAAGGCATGTGTAGGTCCAAAGTCCACTAATAATTAGATAGCTTCATGATTTGGATAATTCTGCAATAATTTTGAATACAACTTTATTAGCGTACATAAAAAAGAGTGCAAACGCTAGATTTTTGCTTTTACGCTTGCCGAAAACTGCACATATGGTCTATTTCTCCTTCCCTCATTTTGTTTTAGGTTCAGCCTCCTGAAACCATGTTAAAATGAGTTATCTTTGGCTGGAAGCAGAACCACCGAACCCTAGAACATAAATCCCATTCAAGGTGCACCTAAACAAGTAAACCAACGTGCCTGGATTAAACGGACAGCTTCGGCCTAACAACTTGAAATCACTGTCAATGGAAATCAGCTCTGAAATATAGGAAGATGGCAGTGTCATATTCATCGATGGATGCATCTGTCATGGATCATTCAGGGGGAATAGGTGCTATGCCCGCCGGGGCACCCGTTAACCATGTTGGGGGCCACGTTCCTTCAATGGGACCACCACCACCACCTCCTAGCCAACAACAAGTGCAGCAAAATCCGCCCCCACCTGTCGGCAGCGTAGCCCCCCTGGCAGCACCGACGTCAGCAGATGCCTGCTTATCAATTGTGCATAGCCTTATGTGTCATCGGCAAGGGGGCGAAAGTGAATCATTTGCTAAGAGGTAGGTTATCATCAGTATTGTCCAAAAAAAAAAACTTGTTTGCGTTTGCCCGTGCATTAAAGTTGCCTGTGAATTTCGTCTGGCATGCGAGAAGATCGTGATTAAAATGACTTCAGTGTTTACATGCATATGTATCTGCGAATATATATGCGCATGTTTCTATTTTCACAGAGCGATCGAGTCATTGGTGAAAAAGCTCAAAGAAAAACGGGACGAGTTAGACTCGCTCATCACAGCAATCACCACCAATGGGGCACACCCATCGAAATGTGTCACGATACAGCGGACGCTTGATGGCAGATTGCAGGTCGCTGGCCGGAAAGGCTTCCCACATGCGGTTTATGCACGGATATGGCGTTGGCCTGATCTGCATAAAAACGAGTTGAAACATTTGAAATGCTGCCAGTATGCGTTTGATCTAAAAGCCGACTGGGTTTGCGTAAATCCCTATCATTACGAAAGGGTAAGAACTCGCTCAACTGCAGTTTGTCCATTTCTACTCCATTTTCTCAGAAATTACTTCTTCTGTATTAACACGATTTTTAAGCTGATTATATGCATCAATTATATACATACCTTTTGTTAATATAGGTGGTTTCTCCAGGCTTGGATTTATCTTCCCTGTCACTGCAAGCACCCTCATCGTCAGCGGGTACCCCCGAGTCAGGACACGGAAGACACGGATTACATCACGATGATGATATGGTCAAGAACCAATATTACGGTGCAGATATGGGAAGTGGCTACATGGCTGGTCAGGAGAGCCAGCAACAGCAGCAGCAGCAGCAGCAACAGCAGCAGCAGCAGCAGCGGCAAAACCCTTTCTTGTTAGCGGTAAATCGAATGCTAGAAATGTATTGTAAGAAAAGATCAATGGGTCGAACTATGCATATAATGCCTGTCTCCGCGGGTCAGTTTTATTCTTCTTAGTAGCATCCTGCAATGCCCAGTCACTGCGTCTTTCTTAAGCAGGAAGAAAAACTAGTTAGGTGCGCCTTTACGACGTTATATTTCACGTACTAAACGTGGGACGATGACTAACCATTAATGATACGTTAAGTTCTGCTAATCAATGCCCGTTACTCCAGTCTGGTCGCCCAGCCACATCTACTTCGAGCGGTCACAGCGGGTGGGGCCCCACGCTAGGATCAGCGTCCGGAGCAAGTACTCTTCAGTACACCGGTGGGAGTACCCTTCAGTATACTCCTCTAGATCAGTCCTCAGCTTCCCAACAACAACCTCAACAACAATATTGGGGAACACAGGTTTGTACTGATAGGTTTTTTTATCCAGGTTTTTTCTACCAGTATCAAGTTGCCACATAATAGAAGATTCATTTTGTAGGTAGACAGCTTGTATTTGAACTTGCTGTTACGCATAATCGACAGAACTTCGACAAATTTCCTGCTGATTTCAGAGCGGCCAAGCTTTAAACCCTGCACCATTACTGAGTTCGCAACCAGCCCCGGAGTTTTGGTGCAGTATTGCCTACTTCGAATTCGATCAGCAGGTAAATTATTAAATTGTCTAATATATTTAGCTCTACCGATTTTGTTTTTTTACGGCTTAAAAAATGCTTTATGGCGTTCTGTTACTCGTCACCTATCGCCGATCCACAACCTGTGTAACCCCACATGGTGTCCAATACCATTCTGCATTGCACTTTTAACTACAAGCTTTAAAAACATCTGTGTACCTGTCATCCGTTTAATTGGCATTTTATTTTGAAATAATTTTCTTTAATATTCGCTGCCCTTTCTTCGTAGGTTCAATCAGACAGCGTTTATCTTTGTTCAGTTATTGCTTTAGATTTTTTCTCTAAAATAACGATTTTTGGACCTACAACGCGTCGGATGTATGCTAGGTTGGTGATACGTTTAAAACATCGTCGATGTCGAAGCATGTTCTTGTAGATGGATTCGTAGATCCCGCTGGGGGCAACAGATTCTGCCTTGGAGCTCTCTCAAATGTACACCGGTGAGTTTGATGGGGAAGTAATGGCATTTGTGCATTCACATGTCGGTTTACCTTTTGTCTTGACTATTTAGACTATGTGTGACCGTATGAGACTTAATTGAGGGTCTCCTTTAGCCCGTTTATTTCATAGAGCGCTTACGCGTAACCACAAAGCACTTCACGGCTAACTTGTGTCATGTACGAATTATTTCAGGACTGAAGTATCAGAAAGGGCGAGGTTGCACATTGGCAAGGGTGTTCAGCTTGACGTTAAAGGCGAAGGTGATGTCTACCTAAGGTGATTTGCTGCTACATTTTTGCTAAATAATAGTAATAATGATAATATTCATCAATACTTGGTAAGCTCGAGTGTTTGTTTTATCCTTCTTTTTTTCTCTTAATCTTATTGAGAATATTGTTATTCTGCAAGGATAGTTTTATTAAAAATATCCTTTTATTTTATTACATCTCTTAAAAAAGGTGTCTCTCAGAGCATGCTGTATTTGTTCAGAGCTTCTTCCTCGACCGCGAAGCGGGACGCCAGCCAGGAGATGCTGTTCACAAAATCTATCCGGGTGCATGCACAAAGGTAGGAATATTCTTCTTCATTAAATATGAACGTGAATTGTATTACCGCTTACCATCTCCATTAGTCATCTGCAAATTGTTGTGGGTTTTTAGGTGTTTGACTTGGCTCAGTGCTATGCGGAGATGCGAACCCAGGCACAAAATGCGCAGGCGGCCGCAGCAGCTCAAGCGGTTGCCGTCGCTGGTCATTTGACCGGGAGCGGACCTCCCCCACCGGTCGGGGGGAGTTTAGCTCCGGCCATCTCATTGTCGGCTGCCGCTGGCGTCGGCGTCGACGATCTCCGCCGACTCTGCATCCTCCGATTGAGCTTCGTTAAAGGCTGGGGTCCCGACTATCGGCGCGCTACGATTAAAGAGACTCCGTGTTGGCTCGAAGTTCACCTACATCGCGCTCTACAGTTGCTAGACGAGGTGTTACATAGCATCCCACAACATCCGACAAACGAGTAGGGGCAGCTAGAAGAAGGGGCCGAAAGAGAAGGAAAAAGGGGCATGGGGTTTAGAGAAGCAAGGGACACGGTGGGACACAGGCGAAATAGAATGAAATCGAATTCACGTATGTCTACGTAGATTTTTCGGCACGGCCTCGTACAGCGACCAAGATACTTCGGTATTCGTATTTGCTTCTCATTCCAGTTAATAGAGATTGTTTTGAAGAGCTGTAAAAAGTTAATTAATGTTGTAAATATTGAACGAAGCAACAGAGACGCCTGAAAAAACCTACGATTTATGCTTGGCTTTTCCCATTTGAGATCACTGCATGAATCAGAATTCTCAATTGAGAACACATTAATTGAAGAAGCTCTTTTTACGTAGCCTTAAAACATAACGTAGTTGCTTTTTCAGGCTGAGTCTTCTAGCACATTATCGAAATACATGAAGTGTTAAATTGCTGGCCAACATAATGTATATTTATAAAAGATCATTGTTCCCAACTTTGTCCATATATTGGTGGTAACTTTCACCTAGAAATGCTGTTACGCGTAATCGGTCTCCGCATAATAGTTACAATCTGTCTACTGTGGACTAGTAATATTTCGACACGGATTAACCTGTCGCGTTAAAAAAATTTCGCTAATAAAAAAAATTCTACTTCCTCTTTCGGTCTATGAAACTATCTAATACTCATTGGCCGAATCGTGCGTGATTTAACTGATGGTGTCATTTGTCTTCGAATTTTAAGTGTTTGTCTAAAAAAAAAAATGATTTCTACAATGATCCCCAATACACACTTCAGCTCCACTGGCCCATGGAATTGGCGATACATAGGTTATTATAAGTATTACAAGATCAGGACATCGCAAGCACAAAAAAATTCGTGTGTGGCCTAAGATATTTCTCTAGTTTTGTAATCTATAGCGGATCAGATACACATGTATATACTATAATTGTCAATGGCGGAAATAATGTTTCTGGGTAGCAGGCCTCCCAACAGTGAATGCTCAATTGTATCGACTTTGAAGATACTGGTGGCAGCGATAATGAATATTATATTTACTGCAATTATATAGGAACGTGTATATATATTTAGGCAGTGGAGTTATACATTTATATAGATTATTCGACCACCTGTATTTGTGTGTGTTTATCATATTAGCGTCTGACTGAGCGGAGAAATAATGGAAGTACCCGTTGGACTAATGAATATAGTTCAACGAGTAATTTTTTATTTCCCGTCGTTGTTGTCGGGGAATGGTCTAATCCGTCGCTTATAATTTATATTTTAAATGTAATAAATTAGATATAATTTTTCGAAATGTAATAAATAAATTAGATATTATTATAATTTTTCGGTCTATTTCATATCATCACCACAAGTGGCTTACCACCGCAGCAGCAAGGTATTTATACTAGGGCTATAACCACGTAGCACCTGCCATCTACCATCTAATCGCAGGAATATGCACCGCTTTCCATGTGCCACATAACGATCTCTGTACAACGCAACAATTTCCTGTTAACGGTTAACGATCTCTGTACAACGCAACAATTTCCTGTTAACAACGGTTGCTCATGATGAGACGCGAGACGCAAAAAAAATAAAGACGCAAATATAAAGGCAATCCAATTTTGCTGGCTGTATTTCAACAGATTTTCATTTTGGCGACCCAGATTGGGGCTCACTGCTTTGAGACGGTCCTCCGCTGGTGGGATGTTGTTGCACCGGTTGTGCCGCCTGGGTTGGTAGTGAACCTGATTTTGCACTTTCGCTGGCCGCCTTCGGTGAAGTAACTTTACCACTTGGTAATTTAATTTGTGGACTACGTGATGTTACACCCGGTATAACCTTAACTACTACTCCGCGGGTCTTAACCGCTACCTTCGATCCCTTAAGGATCATCTTTGAATGGACAGGGGACTTCACCATTTTCCCTGCCGCCTTGGAAAATTGTGCCCGAACTGCCGGTCTGCTGCTTGGCCCAACAGATCCCGGCGAATAATAGGCTGGCTGTCCACGAAGATGGCATGTGGATAAGCCGGTCGCTCCGGTATAATCTCCGCGAAGGATCTCGATACGTTGCGGCAGTGGAGGATGTGAATTGTGCCATGCATTGTATATCGGATCATAAAGCGGAAAGCTAAGACTGTCCATGTTCATCGTAATCACCGCCTGCGAACAGAAACAACGAAATTTCGAAAAAATCGACTTACTACTAGCGGCCGATCTGACAGTAGCGTATCATCAAACGTTTAGTTCGGAAAAATTTTTTGATATTTTTGCAAAGTAAGCGGTAACTCGTGCCTTTTATAACCTGTTCAATAGCACGTAATAGAGAACTTGAAATTTCGAATTTTTTTATTCGAAATTTACTTTAGTGGCTGGCTTAAATGTAACAAACTTTTTCCATATAAGGTCCCTGTTGCATCTTATGCACGAACTGATCCGCTTGGATTTCGCAGTGTCGCTTGTACCACGTCCTCAGGAAATTCATTAGCTGCGTAAAAGAAGTAAACGCTTTACATATAAGGATCCGCAATGTTTAGCCCTTCACGTTGGGGATGGACATTAATGTAAACAACATTTCCCAGCACCCAGTCTATAATTGTGCTCGAAGAGACTATCTAGCTACAGTATCCCTATTTTTTTTTTATAGTTTAAAATAGATAGACTACGCGCCTTAGTATATCTCCGAAATATCCGAAAAACTCACCACGTTGTATGGCGTGATAAGAAGACCTGCCACAAGTACCACACCGATGAGAGCGGGAGTGTCCTTATGGAAACCAAATGCCCTAAATATACCCGGCATCTGGTATAAGAGCCCGACTAGCAGATGATTTATCAAATTGTCGAGTTCAGCTGCAAACAAACCGTCGCAAAAATTTACTACCTTTGTATATTCTAACTGCAACCCTATCTAGTTTTTAGCTATAGATTGTTGAGGCGTGGAAGTATATCAGGACGACCGTGGAAAAATCGTCCTTACGTTCGCTTTTTAATGCAGCTATATTCTCAGTTCTTCACATTACATTGTATTAGCAATTTGCTCGTTTATCACGCGCCGCATTGAATTCAAAATAACACCTTACTTGAGGTAGGACTTATAAGACACAGACTGCGGAACTACGAATCGTACCCAATATGAACAACTTTGGGATGTGCGACATTTTCCAGTGCCCAATTTCATGGCAGACTATTGCCAGCACGTCCTCATCAGGGAATCTTCTACGGCTATAATGGGTCTTCGTTCTGCAACTATCATCTTTCGGTCCGCGACTGAATCGCACTCTGCTGTTTAAGTTCGCTTTCGGCGCCTGAAGTTATCGAAAACAGACGTGAAAAGAGGCCACGCCACTTCACAACTTGATACCTAACAACTACCGTATTGTGATACGCAACTTCACAACTGGACACCTATCAACTACAGTATTGCGATACTAAAATTCGTCCTGGTCTTATATACCCTTTGTTAGATCATGATCTTGCTAAAATATTTGACAAAATTCTTTGACATATTTATGTAGTGTATCATTATACATGTTGCTAAAGTCCAGATTAACTTTAGATTAGACTAAATATTCTTCCAGCCAAATCTATAGTCATCTGAAGTATCACACAAACCTTTTTCTCAGTCTGCGCTTTGCTCTACCAGAAACCGACCAAAAGACGACAGGAGCGACGATTTTCAGTATTTTCAAAGCAGTACCCAAATATAAGTAATATATTAGTAATATAGGATAGTATATAATAATATAGGATATTTCATTCGACACACTAGTACTTCGCAACTTCAGACGTACCGAAGAGTTCGGTGAATTCTACGAATCATTCTACAAACGACTACCAGATCAGAAAGGTTCATGATAGCAAGTAGAAGATAAATATGCTTAATTTTTTTAAATTCCAGTTGAGGTCATTATGTCCTTAAGTCATAGGTCAGCGTCTCCCGATAACTCTGGTCACGAAGTCACAATTTTGGAGCGTTCGACCGTTGCGACTTTCATTGCGATTTACACGGCAGTGCCCGTTCCCGAGCAACCTTGAACGGCTTTCGAACCTGCATCTCGAGTCTGCGCAAATACTGTCCTCGAAAAATACGTCACGTGGTTTGTGCTGCCTGCTATGCACCAAGCTAAGGACAACTAGAGAGCTATCACCAGTGATAATGAAATCCAGTAATTAAGGGGGCACTTACCTTCGATTTCGGCGACTCGTCAAGTGGAACAGTTTCATGTTTTAGGAGAGTATCAAAAAGTATAATGCTTTTACCCTTGAATACGCCGGCAATGTGCGCGTTGCTAATCGTCGTATACTGTGATACTTCAAACACATACAACTCCCTCAGAGGAAAGCCGATAGACGTCGATAGTGATTCGACGGCCGACCTGTGTAAGTACGTAGCGTTAAGGCAATGAAGAGTCAACTTTATCTCTCTCTATAAACAGTGATCCCATTAAGAGTTTTACTAGGTAAGCGCAAAAACGGTAACACGATTACTTCATTGCAATTCACTGGTCCGAGACGCGGAAAAACTCGGTATTTCATTTTATTTATGTAGTCCTTACCTTAGTCTATTGTTTGGGAGAGGGTAAAGTTTTTGGAAGTAAGGCGCAATAAGTGTCATGTAAAATGTCTCCCGAAGAATGCTCAGCAAGCAGCGAGCTACCCAAAAGTACCCAAAGCTCCACGGACCAATTCTTTTTACCAGGTAGAGTAGTGTGCATGACATTGGCAGCGTAGTTACTTGATGAATCAGTAGACTCTTCATAGCTTCGCGCAGGTAGCACGCCATCGACTAAAAGAACACATTTGCGCTTTCAGTTTGTAACAGGCTTTTGTAAACAATACTAGACCCAACTTACTTTACTATCAGGATTATAGCAGCACCGTGAAGTATGTTAACCTGTTTACTAATGCCGTGCTTTATTTGAATGAAGAACGTAGCGTAAATATCCCACGGCAGCGATGCCAGACCGGAAATCAGCAGTAACAGCGAGATGAACACAACAGACGCAATAAGTTCGGGGTCTCCCTTATACCCTGGAGAGAACATGGTCGCCATTAATACTTTCGTTTTCTTATAGAAGAAGATATATGTCGTATACCATTTGTCGTATTGTAAAGGCGTCGAACCGGTAATTTCCTGCACTTGGCCCCAGGTTATGGCTTTTACCTGACTGAGCCTTTAGCATAAGAGCAGCACTAGGGTATGAGCTGTTTACACACTTCAGTGAAGACGCACCAAATATCGTGTAGAAGTTCCAAATTTGGTTAAACACTTTCTGTTTTCAGCATTTACAATGAAAATCTTACCTCTTGCAACAATAAACCCTGTTGTCCAATTCCAAAGCTTGGGAGTAATCTCATAGTTGAGGATGAGCTAACACAAAAAATTGAATTTCGATTTTTACTTTTATGTATTCTACAGATTTGAAAAACTCGCACTAATTCAAATTAGAGTTAATTACAATGTTTCATACGCATGCCAACATAGGGAAGGGATTAGCCTAACTATTTTATCATTAATTAAATGAATTTATTAATTTATTTAATTTCGCTATTCTATTCTGAACAATTCAATGTAATAGTAAGTGAAACTTGTTGAACTAAAAAAAATGAAGGGATTATTGGTCGATTTTTTATCAACTTACAATGGTATAAACATGTGTAAGTGTGTTTTGTACGATAGCGAACAACACCCGATCGAGTCGATACGCGCGAGATTTTGCATAATATTGAGGGTCCAAAATGCGTTTTAACTTTAAAGGCAGTACCGGGTTACCTTTCAATACTTTGTACTGAAATGCATTCCCAATTTGCGATTAGTCAATTGATCAATTATGAAACCAGCCAGCTTATGAATATATATCCTACATCTTATATATACATGTATGAACGTAAAGGAATCTGAAAATTAAATAATCTATTTTTTTAACAAAGTTTTTTCTCAGCTTCTCTCAGCTAACAGAATTGCAAAAAAATGTTACCTGTCTGACAAGAAGGTACGTTTGCCACAAATAGTTGACCCATAAAAAAGCAACGGTAAAGAAGTACAACCCAGGTTGCGCCCAGGCGCCGGACACCTAATAAATAAAATAAAAAAAAATTTACCTTTTTTATTCACCCAGATTGGGTTGTTGGCAGTCCTTAAACCAACGACCCCTGGTCTCTTTTAACCAGAGGCTTCGCCTCTAAGCTACCGCGTTCAATAGAAGAAATGATTGATCGCGATCGATTAGTACACATGGTCAAGCTGTGATCTTCTTACGATTGACTGTACCTCGCCGAACTCGCATCAAAAGTATGAGTTTGCTTAACAAATGCATTTAGAAATTAAAATTTTAGAGTTCTGAACGATCCATTGGACTTGAACGACACGCCCATATTTTAAGGAGAGTAGAGATATTTTAAACATACCTGTTCAGTTAAAAGCTCCTGAATTGACGGCATCACCTCACGATGGGGGCCTTGTACCCCCGTCACCGGGGGTTTTTTGGTTGGTCGCGCGCAGCGAACCATATCTAAGTTTTCTATTTGTCAATTTAGTTTCCGAAACTTGGCTGGAATAAGTAGAGAAAATACCACACTCGATATTAATGAGAAGCCAAATCTACATAATATTAATTGAATTATTAAATTTGATTTGGTAAACACCGAAAATTGAATGACGATTGTGACGAGGCGAAATTTTCACAATAATTTCGTAATTCAGAGAATTGTTTGAACAGCCATTGATCGACCGACCCGACCTCCAAGCTTCGTCGTTTAGAACTAACAATTTCTATATGACCTTTCAAAGTTCGCCTTTAGATTTACATAATCTTTTTATATAACCGCTTCAGATCAATAGAATTCAGATTTCAAGGTAGATTCACCAGTCACCATTACAAGGCAGCTCAAAACTGTTTTTACATAGAGACAGGGCGAATGAGTGCATGACGTTAATGCAATATGACCTATGTAAAGTACGGTAAGATACACTGCTTCACAACATCATCAATCATTTCCACTCGATAAGGAAGGTACTTTGAGGAGCGAGGTACGTAGATGGACAATTGGGTGCTTTGATGGTAAATGGACACATGCTGAATAGATTTTGCGTTAAGCCCGACGTCTAAAAAGTAGCCGAATATGTGTGATCGATGACAGAAAATCCAGTTACTTCTCTTTCATTGATTGCTTAATCGTGGACTGATGTGCCGAGGACGGCTTGTCTGCTTACTCAAACAACAAAAAAATGCTGCCGTACTTACCTAGTTAGGTTTCTCACTATGTAAGTCTGGAGTGTAGTAGTTGTACGTGCTTATTGCCCCAGCTTCCCTGAAGTTTCATACAACTCATACAATCTTTTCCGAGCTTCATAATATCTTATTCTCGTTTTGTGCGTTGAGCTGTGGAAATATTCTGTATTACTTACTAGAATGTCTCTAATTATCAAGGTTTGCTTCGACAACGGGCGAAGTGAACATTTTCATTCACGCATGCACATGATCTTCGCAAGAAACTAAGATACATACAGAAAATCATACTAGTTTGTTAACTGGATTAAAATCGCCTTACTTCTTGTTGGTATATAAACTATTATTGGCTATGGCGTGAAAAGATGGTGCGTACGCAAAGTATAAAATTAGAGTGGTGGTGATACATTTTTTGCAAAGGTATGGTCTTTTGGGTCGATGATTAACAGACTGCTTCATGCAATAATTCTTTGGCTGTGCTGTGCTTCATATTCGTTAACACCATAATGTTTGTCTTCTCTGGATTGAGGTCAACACACAGACGCCTGTGAGCATTACTTAGTATTTGTTAACTCATGATCACAAGACTGCACATTAATCAGAAGCTGAGCTTTAATATATAAGAATATTGACATTTATTTACAAAATATTGCATATATTTGTCTGTAGAAACGTTATGCTGTATTTTTGCAAGCGATACGGCTATTTGAAATTGGCGCCGTATTCATTTTCTGTTTGAAAGCGTCTGCTGTACAGGTAGTTCCCTCTCTGAAACTTGTTTACAATTGTGTGTTGTTTGGGTAGCACATGTGTTTTTGGTGAGCTGAGCATTCTTTCTTCCAAGGTTGGTTGCTCTGTGGCTATAGCGACTATCCATGTTACCTTTTTAATTGTAAGCATAGAATGATTTACGGTGTCTCCGACCCAAGAAGGCGAAGTTTGTGTTGGCGACTTTAGTCGGTGAACGTTCGTGCTCTGTGGTTCTTTTGGTGCTGCTGAGTGCCGTGTGCCCATTGGACCCATGCTCTGGCAGACAGGAAGGCCGAAGCAGCCCGCCTCGCGAGCCGCCCGTGTAAAAGCCTGTGGCTTTGCCCCTTTTTGAAATCAGCTGCTGCTACGTCATCTCGGCTCTACGGAATCCGTAAGTAGTGTTGCGCGTTGAATGTGAGTTCGGCATGAGTTTCACGTCGGGCAGAGCGGGCATGTACAATTCACATCCGACATTCAATCGCTTCTGGCGACATTATGAAGCATCTATGGTGTGGATGCGTGCCCACTACGCAACAGTCAGTCGCATCAATGCCGAATATATGGCGACGGTGGTGGCAGCAGCGGCGGCGGGCACTGCGCACTCCTCCCAGAGGACCGATCAGCCGACCCGGCAAAAAAGTCCGAGGGGTCCATCCAACAGCAAGCGAAGGAAGTTCCACAGTCCCACGGCGAGTACTTCGCCACGAATCCTAAATGATGATAACAACGACAACGTACGAACAACCATGAATGTGTCCACGATTTGTGACGGTCACGTTCAGGCCTATGAAGTCAATCAGGGCGGGGAATATCGTACGCCGAGTGAGGAAGAGCTAGAGGCAACAGGTAACGAGGATATAAGCGATGCGATTCTCGATTTTTTCGAGACATCTCGTCGTCATAGGGAACAGCGCGATCTGGAAGAGTCTCAACGACACTATGAAAATTTGGAGAACTTAATGATCTCGACACGGCCGTCGGCAGTGAACTCAGGCGCGGATACGAGCGCGATGTTTGAAGCGTGCCAGCGCGAAATGAAAGAGTTGTACGGCTCGCAAGCGGCCACAATACACGGCATGGAGATGGCGATGCAGTGCGGGTTTGAACGTTTCGCCCAAGCCGATGTCAAACTTTGGCCCAACATACCTATGAGGTTATAAGAACCGTCGATGTTATTTGGTCTCAGTAATTCGTCACTTGACTAAACCGTAGTGGAAAAACCTGAGTCAACCAATGTCAATTTATTCCCGAACGGAGTATATCGCAAGAAAATGCCTTGCCCTTTAGAGTCATGCAAGCTAATTGCTGTGAGGCTGACCAGCATCTATTGATTCTGTTCGTGTATCGTGGACAAACCGATTTTTCTTCGGTATATTATTACAAAGAACGGATTTTAATTATAGCGAAACTAAGTTTAAAACTTGGACACTCCTTACGTGCTTGCGGAACATTTACAAAATTTCACTAAAGCAGATCCACTTGTTTAATTGCACAATATATATAGGTCGTAAATATTGTTTTTGTATTACTAGTATAATAACCAAATAAATAGCAATTTAAAAAGTAAGATGTTTTGATCAGTTTTGTTTATCACAGATAAGATGTTTTTTTATATGCGTGCCCTAATAATATAGGAAGTTTTCGGCTCTGCTGATGCTGTGCCACATAAACTGTAAACACGAATCAGGTGGAAACCGAATCGGTCCTATGAGATCGAAATTTAATGAAAAAATGAAGATTATTTGAAGATAATCGGATCCGTAAAAATATAGAAGCGTATGCGTATGCTGTGTTTCTCCTATAAGGGATATAAACATGTATCGATAAAAATGAGATAGTGTTTAGGGGATGATCTCTGTAGAAAGCTGTGACATAAGTGACTTCTAGAAATATCCGTCTACCCTATTATTATTATTATGATAAAGTAGTCGAAGTATTCTTCAGCCAACCTGATTATAACGTTCACATAGTACAGCATAGCGACCCTATTAACCACTCTACATACGATAAAATGTCACGCAAACATACAGATAAGCTGGCAGTCGTATTTTTATTTTTTTACTTAGTGTGATCCGCATGTTCAACTGCGGGGCCAGATTTTTGGGAAGGGAAGTGATTTAGATCTACAAGGGCCTTAGTTTGTCAACTGGCAATGGCCACTTGGAGTTTTGGTAGTAAAAGATGAAGTTCTTAATCATAGAGCTTATCAGAAATTCAAAGAGAACTGCTCTAAAGATTGATGAACTGTCATCAATGGAATGTTGTGACGTACAAATTTCACGTACGTCATAACTTTGCGTTAGCCTGCTACATTGCGAACGAACTAAATAGCCAGAATGGCTTCTTTACGTTAGAAGTGCAAATTCTAACCCACTTTCTTTTGGTTTGCCGGATCTACTCAACGTTCGATGAAACCTGACTGCCTGTGACTACTTCTTTACTGTGAACCTTTCGTGCCACGCTTATGGCATTATTATAGCTATTTGCTAAAAAGTTCGAAAATAAATTTATTTTTTTATTTGCAATAATTACATGACCACAAACGCATTGTTATGCGCTGCCGAAACTTGAAGTTCGATTGTTGTTTTGTCGAGGTTTCTGCTGTCTTAGTAGCTGAATGACTAACGAGTTGTTGACTTTGCTCTAACCTAATGTTCTACCTTTTTCATACAGACACCAGCAAATTAGCTTACCGAGACTTTCGTCTGCTTTTCTGTCAATTTTCTGTTGCAAACCCTAGCACTCTGTTTACTTAATGTAAGCAAACAAAGTGCTAGGGTTATGTGGTTTCTATATTTATGCGACCTCATTGCGCAAGCATCACAGTAAATCAAGTTATTGCGTCACGCTATGTTAGAATCAAAATATTTTTGGAACAATTTAGTCTTTCTTTAATTTTAATCAGGGTTTTCCTTTCTGAAAAACTTAGGCCACCATTAGTCAGACCACCAAACAACAAGTGCGACCTTCTGCAGATTTGGAGAAGTGGCATTACTGGTACAACCAACTGGGGTAACAAGAATGAATTATTTACTATCAAGTCTTTTATATATATGACACCCCGTTTGGGATATGGTCTAGACAGATCGTTTGAAGCTGTTGGCGCCATTTTCTGAAGTTTGTGCGCTAAGAAGGAAGGAAGCGCTCAAGTCTAAAACGGATCACTCTAAGCAGAGAACTCTACACATTACTTTATACGTTGCGTAATAAATCAGCGGGAATTGGTGAGATTATTCCAATATATGAGCTATAATAGTGATATTGTAAGTTCATACAAATGTTATACGTTAATGGGCATCATTTTGGCAGGAGTTTAGCACTCGCGCTTTAATAATATCTAAAATATAAATTAGGTCTTAGTTTACGATGTTTTATAATGATTACTGTTACTTCAAACTACTTTGGTATATAAGGAAACAGCTACGTATTTTGAAGATATGACCAATCAGCCAGGTAGACATTAGATGTAGCTTTGCCCCAAGCCAAAATATAGGTTAGTAAATACAAGTAATTATTATTAGTTTTATTCATTTGTTATATAATACATATAATGGGCTAAAAATATACTATTTACACATAGCACTGTTTAGCTGCCTGAGTTTCACTGTACAACACGGACGAAAGCAAAGCCACTCAGTTGGCGGTCGGTCTATTCTCGCTCCGTGGCATCTGGCGCTCTTCATCTTACTGTAGCTCAGAAAAAGACGAAAGAGTAAAGTAGTGGTTTGCATTTTACTCAAATTGTTTTTCACATATTAGCACAGGCCCGATTACTAAAGTTTAGATAACATTATTCCGACAACCTGGGTCTGAATGAAGGGCATCTATAATGAGCCCATATCGTGTGCTCCTATGGTTTCATCACGACCGAATAGGAGATCGTTCGTGATTTCAGATACGACGGACGCAACGAAATTTTCGAAAAATGAGTATGTTGAACCGAATCCAACTCCGGTGCGGGATTTTGACTCTCGTACAGCCTTCATCAAGCATTCAGGCAATTCCAGACCTAGTTTTTGGGTGAAGATCTCTGCGAAAATTTCAGTAATAGCTCCACCCGCGCGGCCGACGCACTGACAACTTTCTTCGGCCACAGGTATCATGCTCTGGAATTAATGCAGGCCAAATTCGATTAAAGACAACGAATATAACTATAGTGGTTGTTGTTATTGTAAACAGTTCGTCGTGACAAGATGAAAATGCTGTCTATCTACTTTGCTTCATTTTACCTGGCTTCAGTGGAAAAGTAATATTTTAGACTTTTCCGAATAACTTCTCGCTGGAAAATCCCAATAACTCTCATTGTGTCATATTGTCGCATCCGATTGGACTGCTATTTACAACGTTAATGTACCAAAGTCATGTAAAATTTAGTTGTAAAGAATTTTCTATATAGTCAAGTAAATATATATTCACTTTACGTATATCTAGCTAAAAATTAAACCCACCACAAGTTGGTTCATATCCAATGAAAGAGAACCTAACGGAGGCAGGTTCTTGAGACAGTCCTGAATTGAAGCTGAAACGGAAATCACACAAAACACATAAATATAAATAAAAGTAACCACTCGGAATCCATAACTCACCGTTTGGGTAGCTATCAAAATCGTAAATAAAATGCCGTTATAATGTGAAATTAACACGTATAAATATGGTCTTTGGATGAATAAAATGATACCGTTTATAATGGTCCTACAAGGACAGAGGAAAAACACACTTTCATTATGCAGTAGTAGCCAACCGAGTAAATAAAGGACTTATGAACTGTTATAGCAAAAACTGCTCCAGGGGAATATGCGGTGGATACACGCACAGATTCCGTATTCTGAATGACATTAGAATGCGGTACAGAACCATGATATTCAACCGATCAAAGAACTCTAAACGAGTCCCTTATTTTTTCCAAGAAGGAATAAAGATACTACCATACAGCGATCATCGCTTATTATAGCTGTATATTAAGTCGCCCAAACATATAAGCAGGGAAGAAACCAAATGAGCAAATGTTTTATAGGCGGCAAGTGTGACTAATTATATTACAGTACCGGAAAAATTCACTTATTTTGATGTTTTCCTTTCATCTCTTAGTTAGCAAGAGTACAACATACCTTTAATTCGGCAATAATGCAAACTATGGGATCATAGAGGGATATAAATCGAAGAAGTTACTTGTCGAATGTTCCTCAACAACAACGGGGCATCATATGCGCTCTACGTGATGAACGACACAGATTGTTGAGATAACTTTATATTGGCATGAACTTATAGTAATCTACTTGATGTACCCATAAGAAGCTCCATTTGATGGATGATACAGATGAGCAACATTTGGAGGCAATGCTGACCATGTTTGCTGCTTCTAAAGGGAAACACGAAATAATCGTTTACTATGGTGTTTGTCATCTATGACCATAATGATGAAAGAAAAAGATTTACGTGGCGTATTTTGTTGCATGTAGTGATTGTTGGTTCCCATTTGAAGAATATCAAGCATCACATTGAAAACGGTGTGCGTAAAGCAACCTCCATTCTGTTTTCCGAAGACTCGCTGTAGGGAGGCTGAAGCCAAGTAGGTAAGGTTTCGAAAGTTGTTTCACGTCAGCTGGCTTCAAAGTGGAGTTTTGGAACGGAACTTTGAGCCGTCGAGGATCTGTACTATTGTGACCCTACAGTGACGTAGTGTAGTCACACGCACATCTTTCATTTCAGTTTTCAAATCGAAACCGCCTCATTTTTCGGACTTAGACTCATTTTACCACTAATCAGACATAAAAAATTAATAGCTTCCCTGTTGAACCCTAAGGAGCAAGAGCCCATCATGTTCGGCTCTTACAATCATTTCCGAGCCGGTCGTAAACAACGAATTCGTGTAGATCAAATTCACATCCGTCGTTTTCGCAGAACAGTAGACATCTAATGCCAAGTTCAGATGGACGCCATTGCAGGTGAACATCTGAACTCAGGCGTCTTGTATAACCCATGCACCTTTTTGTCGCTGTGAAATGCGATGCCCCTGAAGTCAACCCCAAACCCCTCCTGATCATGAACCAGATGTAAAGCGACTTTATTTCTGCCAAGTAACAAAATAGTCGAACTCTTTGCTTGCCGTATAAGAGAATGGCACCGCTAATACATATCAGGTAGTTCTTAAACTGTTGATCGGGGACTGAGAAAGTACTAATTCACTTTGTGTGCTTTCATTTGACATAAAAGGGAGAGTGATCAACGAGCTAACGGCATTTCGCTGGCTACGGTCGGGCTAACACTGGTTGAATGCTTTCGATGCCGTCTCGATAAACGAAGCCAACAGAACCGCAAAAGGATTTGGGTCATCAGAAGTGCGTCGTCGAGAAGAACCAGAAGTTCAAGCGATACTCAGCCTTTTTTTCATGATTCGTTCTTTGAAGACCGACCAAATCTGCGCGACGATCTGAGCAGGAATGACCGTACAGCGCGCGAACGTCAGTAACTATTATGTAAGAGAGTTTTTGGCCCCATTTGTGGCATCCGCGATCTTCGCAACAGTTGGCTGCTAACAGTGCAGCCAGGGGGATGTTGTTTGAACCGGCTGATGCTGCTGCTGGTGGTGGTATATCTGCGCAGTGAGTGCGTAAGGCGAAAGCGAAAATCCGTTGCGCGAAGGAAAGTGTCGCGACGTTTGCCTGTCAGTACATTCGTCCGTACCAGGCATGTTTCTCTGTGACGGACGACCTTTTCTAAGATGTGCGATCAACGGTGCGAAATATCGAAAGAGACATCATGAGATTCTGACTATGATGACTCCATATATCTGTGATTGAAGCGACGGATACGACGATGATGGAATAGAAAGAGACTGAAACCGTTGAAAAGGTAGAAGAGCGAACTAATGTAGAGCGAAGTCAAGCCTTCCATGTAGATGTAGCTGCTTCCAATGACCGGTGCCTGGCTATGTGTGTATTTATTCATACGTGTGTCGCTAACGCCAGGCAGAAATTTCTCATCAAAATTTCCGCTTGTCGACTGGATTTTTTGCCAGAGAGGCACGACTGGGCCATCTACGAATGGCAAGATATCTGACGAAATTCGGTCACATCTTGTGTGAGTATAGTCTACACATTTATGCATGGCGGAGAGCGGCGCCTTGACGGTAGCACACATCTGCATATATCGGAAAGCTTCATGGAGTAAATAACTATATGGGGCTTGTGTATTTACGTTAACCAAATGTGATGTGAACTTTGTTTAGCGGACTATAGAGCATATTTGCTGCGCTACGAGTGACACATCGAACTGGCTTAATTGGCTTCCTATCCTTAAATTATGTTCAGTCTAATGATATAAGGAAGGAATGAAAACTTATACTCAGCGCTAACTAAATTTGCTGTACTTTGGACCCTTACTAGAAAATGAACTATTGACAGATCATAACTGTTGAAGGCTGGTTTTAAATGTCATTAAAGGAACATGAAAAATACACTTTCGAAGCAGGTCGTACCGAGTGTTACGTTCGAGCAATTGTTGAAATACACGGCACGAGTCAATCAATCTTTACTGTTTCGCAATGCAGTGTGGCCTAGAAGAAGCCATAGGGTACTTCACTTTGACGACAGTTGCTCGTATACTTTGCTTACTGTGAGCTTTGATTTGAGACTTGTGTGACGGATCGTCTGTTTCAGTCCATAGTAGAAGTACCACCATCGTTAGCCTGTCACTTCTCGACTCGTCAGATTGGCTCTTTGTGACTCTCTATTTTCAAGTTATATAAAAAGTTCATGATATATTATATATTTATTATCTTGCCTGCAAACTTTGTCCAGACTGTTTATTTACAGTGCAGTGTGCGCAACAAATACTGTTATAGATGTAACCCGTAAAATATAAATAGTTTCAATTCTTCCAAGATTGTCACTAACAGATTTTGTACCAGTTTTGTTTGCCGATGCTCTGTCCTTTCTACGGAGACATACGAATGTTGTACCTAGACTTTATGGTCAATGACCAGTTAGGAAATGTGGGCCACTGGTCGACGTCTATAGGTAAATCACTTGAACTCGAGCGAATACATCTATGCTGTACCAGGTCTAATTGGAGTCAACTAGATCGCTGTTTATGTTACGGTTGATGAAGTGTCGTTAGTTTTTCATGTTAGCTTAATGTTTCAATGTTACGTGCCTTAAGGCGAATGGAAATCTGAATCTATCGAGTGGCTGTCTAAAGTAGAGCATATAATGTGGCAACAACTTTCGAAATGTTAATGTCCAACCATAGTCGAAACAATAAATATTACAGCTCGACTATAATATGTAACTTGAACGTACTTTATCACGTTAGCGTCAAGTTAGCGTTTCTTCGACCATGATTTTTCATACAAAAAGTCCTTGAACCCGGATTTCTAACGTGGAACGGTATCGGCGCAAAGACGCATACAAATTTTAATGTTGAGCGTGCTGTTTTTAACGTGGTGTATTTTATCGCTGTAAAATAAATACGAATTATAGTGAACCCAATTGAATCCAAGAGGCTTTGTCAATTATTGGGACTGATATGAACCTTTTTTCGGCAGCATATCAAAGTGGTCATACTGTGGCAGAAGGTTTATTTGACTGGGGAACAAACATTAATATGAGTAGTAGTTACTGCTTTTATATTACTACCACCAGTAGCTTCTCTGTTTCATTTCGAGCCAAAGAACAAGTGACTTGTTCAGATTCATTATGGCGGCTTCCATCCGTCGTATTTCGATTTTAGCGGGTCAACGGACGTCAGTGCATCCATGAAAGGCCAGTGGATTATTATCATTGTTTTTTAAGGGAACTTTGTCACACACGCACCTTATATAGAGACGATCGGAAAGGTCCTCTTTTACTTAAGGATATACATGTGCAAGGCCTGCTATATGTGAAAAAATATTCTTACGAATAGCATAATGCTGATGATCGAATCAAACTATAAAAAAATTGCGAATTATTGCGGTATAAAGAATAACATTGGCCCTTGCATGACGTCTATACTGGGATCACACTGAATGCCGTGTGAAGAAGGCAGATTGAATATAATAGGTTGTTTACTACTAGTGTGCATACACTTGTAAGTTAATAGGTTGTGTTCAATGCGGGGTAAGTAAATATAAGTTGGATTTGAAAAACTTGGTTGAGGACTTCGCTGTTCTTGATGTTGGAGAATCTAAAAAGGGCATATGCGCATCCACAGTATTGATAAAAAAAATGCGACAGACAAAGCAGAAACAATGTTTTAAGTACTCTCAACTTAACGCAGTTGGCATCCTAGATTCGTTTTACTGCGGCCCAGTGTAATCTAAACACTTCTTGACTTAGGTCGCATTTAGGCTAAGACCTCGTAGTTATGAATTTAGCAAACGTTACCACAAGGATTTACTTACGTTTCAGAATAGCTGCGTTCACCGTGGTCGTCCATAGGAGAACCAGCACCAAAGCTACAATCTGCCCACCAACTGAACTCATCCTGGGTGATCTTCTAGTAAAGTATTTTTCTGCGTGCCTATGGTCAGCTATGGTCGTTTGTGTGCGCTTCAGCAGGCAGCCAAGCTGGCACTGTAGTAGTTAAAAGAAATATCTAATAATGCATCCGTCCAAGACAAAAAACGCGTAGCTGTATCATCGTCCATTTGTGGGAAACAACAGTTCTGTGACAGACTATTCTGCTCGACTCTGCATGAGATGCTATTACACACAAATACATATAGATAGTGGTCAAGCGAAGGGCATTACATGTTACTGCACATTCGCCGCTCACATGGCATCGCTTTAGCAGGCTGGAACAAGCACCGGTGTGTGCAGCTTGTCAGCTCAGAGCACGGATACTTCGGTCTGTTCTGTATCTTCTGTTCAGAGTTTTCTGCTGCTGCGTGGTGGTGAAGATATGAGAGTTTGTATTCGAACGAAACAGACAGCTTGCAGCCTCAATGTGGACGGCACCATCGCCACTGACTAAAGACCGTTGAGTGGGGAGAGAGTCCCCAAAGCAAGGAAAGGGTCCGGCGATGCTGTGAGGTGAGCAGCATGTACCGTCAGTCCGCTTGCTCGTACTCGTTGTGTATAGCGCGACAAAGTTTGGGGTTTGCTAACGGCGGCGACAAACGGTACATGCGTAGAACTAGTAGACGAACATAACGATGCGCTGCTCCTCAACCAAAACAGAAAGAAACAAGAAAAGGGTGACGAGATGATAAGGCGCACGTGGCCTTCGCGAAGCATAAGTTGATCATGAAACTAGCAACTGATATTGGCCTGAGTGGTAAAAACTGGGTCTCGAAAGCTGGCAAGGGCAAGGTGATGATCAGTTTTGATGCAAGGTAAATTGAAGCTGTTCAATGAGTGAAAGTTAGAGACTTCAGATATTCGACGGCGCGCGACTTCTGCATATCGCCGATTGTTGCTGTCTATTTCTACAAGCGATATTCTGTGGAACAGGTGCACACCACTGAATGTAGCAATATGTTTGAACAATAATCAGTTGTTATAATAAGTAGGAAACAAATATATACAATAGCATTCATTTTGTAGATAATAAATACAATATAATGAAACACTTGATTGAATGTTTTCTGTTCCTATGTGGATACGAATTGCGAGTTTGATGTACAAACGAGCTTATTATTGAGTTTTCAAGGAAATCTTTTTCTACAGTGAATGAACGTAGGATACTGAGAAAGTGAAGCTTTATCCTACACATATGAGAGGTTTCGTTGGTCGTATAGGTTACGTAATGGTTATACGACTCCATATTCAAATTTCAAGTCAATTTCATATCTGTTGCAACTCTTATTTGATTTGTATTGGCCAGAACAGCATTTCCGATAAATCGACGTTAAGTGAAGCTAATATATGTAGTTGTCTTCGAGAAACTGAAATTCTACATCTGTACTGGACCGAAAGTTTTTTCATTTTCTTTTGATCTGACTATTTTTTAAACCAATATCCGACCACACAGCCCTTTAGCTAGACCGATTTTTCTAATAATCAAACCATTTATGTATATGATCGCAACACGAAGCATTTGACGGCACAACTAAATTTAAATTTATTGATTGAATTGGTTTTCCACAACGGATCATGAACTAATATGAACTGCTTTGACTCTGATCATTAGCAACTATTGTACGGTACACTAATTTCGTATACCTGGCCGTATTCTTGACCCTTTTATGTGAGTAACTTTAACGAATTGCTTGTCTCTGTCTTTTAATGTCAGATGCGATATACGCGCATTAGCCGGCAAAAACGAAGAGAAAAATCTTCAGTGAAATTTGCTTACATGCACATAGCGACAACAAGTACGAACAAATCGAAATATCAGCTCAGCAGTTATTCTTCTGTGTGGCTGGTAAAAGATAGCATTAGTCGCAGAAGTCCCTGCCATATCACCACCATTTACTAGCGGTAACTATGTGCCGTATTTGCCGAATCATTGCATATATTGCGCGTAGCGGCGCGAACATATTGCTCACAGCAGCAGCAGCAAACCCACTAAAGCTGATCATGCAACCAGCGAGATCCTGGTGTGCAGCAGAAGCAATGGTAGCAAGGGATTTCTACGGCATTCTGACATGCCTCCCGACTGGCTGCCTGTACCGATGTGCAAAAGCCGGCAGCCGGCGACAAAGTTGTTGTCACGTGCTTATCTCACTCATTTGACGGTACTCGTACAGGGCGTTGAGCCACCAAACGACCCAAACGGGATGCTAGCTGAGGAGACAATCCTTGTCAGAACGACGAACAAATCGACACATGAACAAGACCCGTTAACGCCCGAATGGAGTAGGTTCATACGCGGCGCAGAACATGGTTACGGCTATTGAAGTCGTTGCAATGCTTATATTGTGTCTGTTGTTGCCGACGATTCCATCGTGAGTCGACTTCTCGAGGCAGCGGCGACGGGGACAATAGCTCTGCCTGCCTACTGGCCCGTGCATAGATGTTTCCAGCGCGCTGAGTTAGCAGGAACGGGCGATTGCATCGTGCGCACTGTGGCTGCATGCCATAGGGGAGAAGTGGCTGCCGCTGAATGTTTTGATGTTGCCGATGCTGTTCGTAGTGCTGAGGGATCGTTTCTAACGACTTCTGCGTTCTGCTGACGCATCACTGAACCCACTTCTGCACTGCTGCTTGCTCTCATGACCTGCTGACGATGAACGGTAGACGAAACGGTGGTCAAAACAGATGGCTTTACCGCCCTACCGTTCATGATGTTGCAGTTGAAGTTATTGCTGTTGTCGTAATGGCTGACTGTGTGCCGTCGAGATGGAAGAAAGTCTTCGTTGTCGACCAGACATTCTGGAAGGTAGGAAAGGGCCGGAGGGACGAGGTAAAGAAAACAGAGAAAACAGTTTTCGAAGACGATACAGAATGAGCTGAGCGAGAAACAGAGTGGCTGAGCAGCGATCGAACAGCACGAGAAGGGAGGGTATACAGCGTCCAACGGGATCAGGCCGTTGTGACTGCGATTGCTGTTGTTGCTGCTGGCAAAGATGGCAATGATTTTCTGTTGCGTAACTGTTAGGCGTCGGCTCGCTAATACCAATAAATTCTGTAGGGGACGACAAAATAGGTTGTACCATAGACAGGCACAGCTGAAAAACCTGATCCGTAAGACGGACGACGGCTTATATTCTATCCTCATTTGTGCAGGATACAAGCAGCTACCATCAAACCACTGTTGTTGCTTATAATAGCACTAGTAGTTGTAACAGTTCTACGTGTCTAGTGAATAACCGCTAGATTCGTGGTTATCACCTGCAGATGGCTTCGAACCAGAAAACCGTTCGATAAACGAATGGAAGGACAAGCGGAGTTGGCATATATATACTGAAGCCTATCGTAGAATAGCTTTGCTTTTCGGATCTTTATGTCCACGTCATATAACCACTATGTATAGGGTTAAATGTAGGCGCTACAGCTGTAAAGATAATAAACGGGTGTGTCTTTTGTCCGTTTTTTTCGTGTCATAGTACTGCAACTATCGAAAATGAAATATGCGTTTTCGTTGTTAATCTACAAAAAAACAAACATGGAATGACCTTAGCAGGGGTGTTTAAATATCTTAAGAAAAATGGGAATTAGAAGGATATATATCTACATGTTGATCTTTTGATACTAGCTTCTAATAGTTACTGGGTTCTAGAAAGAGGTGCCTTGGTAATGGCACCTTTGATAATGACAAGCTGTGGCAGGCCAACTGATATGATGAGGTAGAGGCATTGCTTAAAGAAGGTTTTCGACGTCCCCCTATGAGCGTTTTACTGCGATTCAATGTCCACAAGCGGAAGACTGTAGGAGATGTAGGGTGGTGCTTACGTCGGCCGATTCGGTCTCGATGTTCGGGTTATCACTAGTAAGGTACAAAGTAGATGCGATACTAGAGGTTCCAACGGAATTTAATATATATGTGTTAGGCAATTAATACGTTTGAACGAGTGAGAACAAATGACCAAGTCTAGAAACCTGTTCGTCAAAAAAAAATATTAATTACAATAATTTGGAAGGACTACTATTTTTGGAGAAAATCTAAATGGAGTTGCGCACGTGAATTGAAAAAACGGAAGGTCTGGTGTGAACGACCCTACAAATATTTTTTTTTTGTAATTTATAAACTAATGGACTTTTGTGAGCACATGCAGACCCCTAGTAATACTGACCAATAAAGTATTCGAGTGTTGAAAGAAGGAGTGTTGCATCAAATATAGCATCGCATGTGACGGAACTTCCCTTCTAATATCATTTTAAATTCAATATTAAGTTATCACTTCCATCAAATTTAGCCGGATCGACATTAGTAAGATGAAATCGGTTATGAATTTTTAGTAGATTTTTGTACTGGTAGATTGAATCTGTTAAGCTTTTCGTCCAAAAAATATTCTCGTTTGACTGCTTACAACATAATGCTTATCGGCCGTTTTAGGGCTCGAAAGATCCTCTGGATTCTGGCGAAGTTATAGACGGACTTTATTGCTTAAGACAAGTTCAATAAGTTTAGTACTGTAAAAAATGTATTCGACGTTCGTTCCAAGCGTCCATGGACTCCTGTTCACTTGCAACGAACCGCACCCTAAAGAAGGTGCATAGCCCTGTTATAGCTCCGGGCTGAGCTAGCACTACAATAAATTTATGTGCACCCGATCATTTGGCGTCAGTTTGGCAAAAGGAGATCATATTGTAGTGCCCAACGAAACGGAAGTCGGCCCAGAAAAAAAATCGACGACTTAGATCTTGAACGAAGTGAAAGTGCCATGAGAATGATAAATGTAAATACTTGAAGCGAACATTTCCTGGAATTCGGTAAGCAATAAACAAATGCAACAGGTAGGTTCATGGGCATGAATTCCGTTTCACAGAACAGCAGCGTTCTAATTTTCTAAACATTTATCAGATCTATTTTTCCATTGAGTACTAGATGAAGTATTTAGTGTAACCGGTACAAAGGCGTTAAATGATAAAATTTACTAGGAGAGCCCAGCTAGCTTAACTAACGCATCAATTTCGTTCGATTCACAAACTTCCCGCACAATAATTTTCACAGTCTACAGGTCTATTACTACACATTTATAGTATGCTTTTGTGATAAGTTTTTGGTGATGAAAAATTCACACATATTACCGTTCTCAGTTCGTTGCTTAATCTAGCAATTAATAATTAGAAGTAGTTTTTGTAATATACTCGCAAGACAAAATTTTATACCATTACGCAATTCATGACATCCTTTTTAATGTAACATAACGTGACGTACTTTTTTTTTTAATTTAAACTCCCACTAATTTAATGACAAGTATGTTGCAGAATCGGAATCATGAGTTCAACAATTTTAATCATAATAAACTTAGATCTGGGGCAGGATTTAAAAACGTATCGAAGAACCAATATGTAGAAAGCTGCTGATAGGGGCACCCAATGGCTAACTTATTTGTTTATGATAGACACGGATGCTTATGCCCATGGACGATCGAGTTTTGAACAATAAGCTCATTCTTGAGGCACAATTGTGGCTTGTGGTGTTAGATCGTCCTGAGCAACCGTTGAGGCGATTAATGATGGACGACAAGAGCAGTGATTAAGACACATAGTAAACGGAAAAAACGTGTCCTTAGCGTTATGTTCGAAAAAAAACCGGGTGCAATAGTAGCCCAAAGGCAAAATATGGTATCAAGAATCCGAGAGATACCCGCAACTTGGGAGTCTTTTATTAAGAGACTTGCCTGTATCTCATTGGCTAGAAGAAGTAACGGGGCGCATCATACAAAAGGCAGCGATAATTGTAGAATGTTGTACTCATTGTAGTTAGAGGTGGAACAGTTTTCTCGGCTTGGATCGAATGAACAATCGAAATGCTTGCGTCACGCCCATCGTTATTTCATTACATTATGTTTGTTTCTGAATTAATGTATGGTCATTCTATGATGGTATGTTGTTTTGTGAACTAACGGACGTAGAGTAACGCGTGTCGACCAGCAATAATTGAAAGCATGGTTACTAAGAAGGAGCACGTCGGCTGGAGCTGACAAAGTAATAGTTCATATACGGATCCGTTACTGTTGAATGTCATATGCAAATTTTCATTTTTCTGTAGTGTTTTAGTACTACGAATATGCCGATACGTATTTTTATATATAACAATAAGAATTACGTGATATTCCAATACAGTAATGACAGTATAGTAACCAACCAAGTCGTTCCTGTCGTGCTAGCAAACGGCATCGCCTTGAATACAAACAAGTACCGAGGATAAGGCTAGTGAATATTTTCTTGGATCAGTTTTGATTATATGGACACGAATGCGATTAAGTTACCCTTACTCTGAACTTTATAAGTTTTAGAATTATGAGTGTTGTTACTGTAGATGTAATTTATGATGAGATATTTCACAATTTTCTATTTAATTTTAGGCAAGATGGTCAAAGGCGCATGCCTCCAACTAGGAGAACTTCAAGACTACCCAGAATACATGCAGGTTTGTATTTGTTTTAAGTTTGCTATGAATTAAGAAAGCCAAACCGGCGTTTGCCGTTGTTAGCTAATGTGTGTGTGTGTATGAGCGCATTTTATGTCATCTTGTCTAGCATTCACCGTCAACGTATTGTATGTAGGTGGGAGGCTATTTTATTCGTTTTTAACGCTATTTTCCTTCGATCTCTTCACAAGAGATTCGTCTATCCATAATACAAATCGCCTTCTTAGTTAGTAGCATATAGAATTCACAGTTTGTCCTTCTGAGAGTTTCTGTTTGAAATCGTACGTGGCCTTTGTACAATAGACGCAGTACTTGACTTCTTTTAATGTCGCCTACGGAAAACAGCTGTATGTACGAGAACGTATTTTGTTCTGATGGATTCGTAGCTATTTGTTTACTTGATTTTCTAACTTGTAATCGTTTTTTCGATTTCAAACTTTTTACCTGAGGACTTTGGTGTGGGGGCTGAATGCAGATGCTTTCTATAACCTCATTGATGTTGCTTCACATTGTTAGTTACTTTTCATGTTCGACTTCAGGGCTTACATTTCCACCACATCGAGTTGAGAAGTTTAATAGACACTACGTCTTTTGCGTCTCCACATGTCTTGTTAGTGTGTCCTCTGTGTACGATAGATATCTCGCGAGACGATAACCGGCGAATAGATTTTTAGTAAATATTACATTCCATGATGCCAGTTAGATCGGAATGTTCGTCGCGAAACGTCTGCCTTTCCGATCCGCAATAATGGCTCATTCCCTAATGATCTGATGGCCCGTTAGATATTTTATCGCACTTCTGTATCTTAATTTGATTGATACAGCTCCATCAGGACAAGGAAGGCCAGCAGACATTTAGGTCTTTGTAGACTAATGCATTGTCTACATAGCTGATCTATCGGGTTCTACGTTAAAAGCGATTTTCGGAGGGAAGCTGACGTGTACTTAGTTTACTATTTACTGACGTTTATTTGGGTTTACGGACTGATTACATCGGCTTATTATATCTCAAAATGTTAAGCTAGCGCGTAAATATCGCCCCTTTTTATCTATTGCTTGTTGCACCTAATTTTTTTGTTTCCTGATAGTGAATTGTTGTATACCGATTGAAAGCTCTTTTTTGCCCTGAAAGGTTCGAGCGAAAAATGGATTACTAAATTCTATAATGGCATTTTCAACCTAACGAACGCACTTCATTGGACTTCCCGAGCTCGTCAAGAATCGGCGTCAATTACTTTTGAAGCAGGATCAACAATAGATAAGTTTATATCTTATAGCTAGAGAATTTTCACCGTATAGTAAGAAATACATGGCCTGGCTTGTTGCAATAGCTTTTTGGCATTGAAAGACATCAGAAATAAAGCCGGCGTCGAAAATTCCAATGTGTTACTTGCATTTATCTTTGAAATCTGTAGTAAAAGCATTTTGAAATATGAAGTAATTCCGTGATCCGGATCAAATAATTAAGATAATAACATTTTTGAGAACAAGGTTTTTTTTTTGGTTTGAGCTCTTCTTTTTATATATTGACGTACGTTGCCACTCGCTAAACTCATTTCGTAGATTTCGTTTGAAACGCCTGAATTTTTACCTTGAAATTGTGGCAAGTTGAGTTAAAAAACAAGCAACAATAGCTAATGTTCGCTTCTTCTGTTTCTGTTCTGTCTTGACAATAGATTTGCTGCGATACGTTAAATGCTGAATGGAAACGCAGTGACACTGCCCGAATTTACAGCCTCCAGAAATCCAGTTCGTCGCTACCCGTTTCCCTTGTAATGTTCGATTCGTTGTCGCGTGAATTTCTTGGCCACGCTCGACTTTGTCGAATTCTCGAACGGCAGGACGCGTGTTTTATCGAGAGTGTGATCATTGTAGCTGATCGTCGAGGTGAAGGGTTGGGTCGAGAGTTGATGCTCCTCGTTGAGGCGTATGCGCGGGATCGAGGCTTTCAAACAGCTTATTTAACGTCCATGAACAAGCAAGCATTCTATACTCGGCTAGGATACACGTTCTGTGAGGCAGTAACAGCGTCAAGCGGATGCCATGTCAGCCTCGGGGGTGTTGTCCGGCCGCGGGTGATTCCCGCCCCTTCAACAGTGGTGCCGCCAAAGAATTCTCGGCAGCTTGATTCAGGAAATTCTCCACCTCCACCTCCACTACCACCAGTTGTGCAACAGACTAAACGGCTTGACCGAGACTGGATGATGAAGACGATAATGACATGATCCGAGATTTTAGATGTAAATGGTTGCATTTATATATTTCAAGGCAAAGAGGGACAGTGATATATTTACGGTTGTCTGTACACCTCTACTTCTGACTATATCCGCGTATATCAGAGTTACTACTATCATTTGTAATAACGCAATAATTTGTAAAACTGTCATTTATAATTGTCAATGATAAAGCTGTGTGTGCAGCAGTTGTTGTTGGGAAAAATCTATACAGACAAACGAGCTGAGGATGATCTGTCTTGAAACGAGGAATCAGCCTAGTTTAGTAACGTGAAGATGGACAAAACAGGATATAATCACTAATGCCCTGAAAGGACTTATTGGACAACGAGACAGAACCGATGAAGCTTTAGTTGATTCAGATGGCAGATGATACAATCGACGCGATATCTTGGGGCACTGTGTTCTAGGATGCCAATGTGTAAATATATTAGTCACCTGTTGACGATTCCGTGATCAAATGTAGAGCAAAAATACTTAGCAGTGCTATTGTGTTACCTTATTCTATTAGTTGGGCTATTTGTGTTCATTAATTTCGTTTCCGGCAATTTGTTATTTGCGTCTGCTTGTTTTATTTCGTCTATTTATCAAACATATATCTTGAAAATAATAACTGTTTGTCTGTGTGCAAACCTATCATCTTTCGTCTAATATCACCTATTTAACTGTAGTCTCGAAAAAAAAACCCGCAAGTCTTAGGAAACATATGCCCGTCGGCAGGTCTGTGTAACTATATACGACCCACGTGTTTGGGTCAAGTAACAAATAGGTAACTAGTTGATTTGAAGAATTGTAGGTTTTCGAAACTGTTTTTGCTCAACTATGATTGACCTGTGAAGTCTTTTACGACAATACGCAGGGTTGGTGCCAAAGATTTCACTAAAAAAGCTATGATCTTAATTACTATTGAATTTACTGGCTATTGATAACGGTCTCCAAACTGTTATATAATATAATAAATATGAAACCTACGGTTGACGTATCGAAGACCTCAACAAAAATATGTCCAAACAAAACGCGGCGCGTTTATTTCAAAAGACTTTATTGCAGACAACGCTAAACAATTGGTATTGGCGCATGTTTGTGACTGTATATGTAGTTTAGAGGTAACTAATTCAATAAATAATGTCTATATATTTACGACAGTAAATAAACATGTCGTGCTTCTTCAATGTCTTATTCGTAGATATGTCCAAGCATTGATTCTCTCCATCTGACACCTTCACGATTTACATGCATCTTTATTTTGAAGCTCCTGTCTAGAACTTGGATGATTAAATCTGTACCCCCGCAAACGCTTTTTTTCGTTCGATTCGAACCGGGCTATTAAAACATTTTTTTCATGCTAAGGAAGCATGAAGTTGCACCTAGCAATGATACCAGACGCGAAACTCGAGGCTGTGGAAACAATGCGGAGAAATTTATAAAATACAAATCAATGCTAATATAAGCTTTTTAATAACAACAATGATCAATATTTATTACTAATTTCTTTTTTGGCAGGCATAGAGTGACGGATATATGCTATTATAAACGGGGCTAATAGGTCCAACTAGTGGGTGTAGGAAAGATTAAAGAATGAACTACGTGAATCAGCTCCCAAGTAACTTCTAGCTTTCCATGCTTTTATCTTACTGAGCTATACATACTGCGGACGTCAGCAATGCAAATAACAGTCAATTCAGTTGCCTCATGAGTATTTTACCGCATCAGGTTAAATACAAGAATTTAACGAAATGTTCAGACTGTGATGACTGGAGCTAACTAGTCGTATAACAGATGCCCTGTCAAAGTTCAAATACAATTTCAGAAGCTGTTTATGAATGATAGCGGATATACGTTCAATTAATGTTCTTAGTAGCAGACAAAAACTAGCTTTTCTAGCGCAAAATCACAAATTCATCATGGCAAATGTCTTCGAGCCGGAAGAATTTCTGCTAAAGTCTAAACTTCCTCCATCGATGAGAACAACGGTCCGCGATGTTTAAGGTTTTCATGAGGTTTTCAAAAACTCTAACGAACACTTATAGGCAGAAGATGCACAACAAAAAAATAACTCATAGAAGCTAAAAACTTATCAATGGCGCAAGAATGCATATCTAGTGGTACTCGTATCTTGGTCCCGAACTTGGAATTTACTTTATAGATACGCGCATATTCCTGAGAAAATAAAATTCACTTTTTATGTAATAAAAGTCGCTAAGGGTGGCGCTCTGCTATTAGCCTTGTTTGTGACTTCAATTTTCTTTAATTATTAGCTTCAAGTTTTATTGAATTTTCTTCGGTTAAACATAAGTTATACAATAAAGACATCAAAGTCGGTAATGGCGGATTTGTCTTCGAACGATCTAAAAAACTGTTTTCCGCAGTGCGTATTTTTTTTAAAAGCTTGCTGACAAAATCGGCCTTTCTGTTAAGTCATAGACTAGTCAACATTTCCTTGGTGATATTTTTGTGTGATACTCCTGATACTTTTTTGAAAGGTGCTTGTCATACCTTCATCTATACCAAGTTCAGTGCAACATTGAAGCACACGAAACTGCTTATGTGTTCCGAATGTTTATTAGTTCAGTAAAGTGTATCACACTTCGTTAAATTTATAATACGCCTCAATTTTATCGCCTGTTCTCCTTCTGTCAGAAACGTAATTATGCCTAGAGCTCTGTAGTCAAATTATTCTTAAATAACCTTGACGATCTCTTGAATTGCTAAATCTCATTCCAACAAGGTTCACCGATCGCTGTCTTTCCTAGGTCATATACTAACATTCGTTCTGATATTATGTATCATAATCGTATAATAATAAGCCAGGCAAATATATTTTTGAAACGCTCTGTGAAGTGCTTGGGGTTTACGGGGGTATTGCATCTATACTTCTCGCATTTTTTTCCAATCACAGATAGGCTACTTCTGCGCTTGGAGTAGTAGAAGATAACTTCATCTACAACTGTGCTTGACCTTCGTTTGTTTTGATATGCCTCTATATAGGGCGCTGCTTCTGAGTTAAATATTCGATGTATATTCAAGGGCAAATTATTTTTTCATCCAAGTACCGTATGATTAAGTTGTTCCGCCGCCACGATTTCAGCACGGTCTGCCCTTTTTGACCTTAACTTTCCCTGCACACGCTTGCATTGATCTAATAATACATTTAACACCTGAAACTTGCGGATATGCCCTTGATCTTGTTTCAGACGTTTAGAGACCATCATCTGCTTCTTCCAACTACGTAACTGAATCTGTGCATCTGAGAACGTGGTCGCTGATTGCAAACGCTCCAATGAGCCTGCAAGTTAATTTAATTATCATCCTAGCTGCGTTCGTTGCTAGCACTTCTACAAGTAGTAGAGCTACTGGACCAATATAGGTCAAGATGGCGATATCTTTTAATCGCCTAAAATTCAATAACTTAGCTAAGTTAAGGTGTCAGTTTCAGTTACCATCTGTTTATCGAGATCGTCTGTAAATATTATATATTGACAGTTGCGTTGGTTTCGTCATGAGTTCTACCACCTTCTGTGTTGTCAGTGATCACACATACATCGAAATAAATATTAACACAGTCTCGTTTAATCACAACAGAATCGTACAGAGAGCTCAGCAGTATACGCTAGAAGGCAGCGATAGCTTACCATTACGCAAAATCCTCTGGGCAATGCACTCACGGTCCTCTACTAACCTGCCTGTTTTACTGATCGCGGTTTAAATGTTTTTATGTTATAAACAGAGGCCATAAGGAAAAAGAATATTCAATAATTTACTCGGGTATATGGATTGACCTATCTATTTAGGGAAACCAATAGGTTCTTATGACTAGTAGATCACTATTTGCCCAGACGGTCTTCTGCACTTAAGGCATAGAAGAAGTAGGACCAGCAAAACGCCTAAATCTGTTCGAACGACCGATGGTATAATGACAGTACCTCAGCTAGGCCTACATAAATGAATATTTCATGGTGAGTCCGTAATAAGATTGAGCATACCGTACACAGTTGACACTGCTCTTTTATTTATGATATTTTATTTCTTCTACAGTACCTCACGGCGATTATGGATTACTTTAGCATTAGCAACAAGGGTACTTGCTTAGACAAATAACGGTGCTTCTGGATTTTTATACAAATGATTTGTATACCTGTCTGAATGGATATATTTAAAATGTATGTATTCCTTGTTGCGCTGTGCCAAGATCTGTTACCCTCAGCTATTATGCAACCGCTGCCAGAACTACATTCTTCAAGTATGGCCGTGTCTAATAATCAAGCTGGGCCAGTTTCCTGTTTGCCCCAAGTGCTGTGACGGCCAACACTGTGTTTAATAAGTATACGGGGTCCGAGGTCATTGAGCTTATGGATCGCTTATAGACGCCTAATAATCTGAGTTTGGCCGGAATTATTCTCTCAGCTCTAGATTGTTGAAGAAAGTTTATTAGTGTAGAAAAGGCATAGAACTATTATTCAGCCGGGGATGATCTTTGTGTCTGCGCGTCGCTCCCGGTGAAAATAGGAAGTGAAACAATATTAGCATAACCTCATACTCAACTTAGGATTTGAAGCACTGCCCAAATATTATCAGTGCGGCAAAAACTGGCCACCAAAAAATAGCTAGTTTTCCTGTATTGGGCTGTTTCAATGAATGTACCATAAGAAAACAAAAACGTTCAGGTATTGTTCGTGTCGCTTACTTTACCCTATATTCTTATTTCCTGCCCCGGATAGCACCTACCGCGTGACCACCGCAACAAAGCGATATTTTTGAGACGCGTTTCATATTAGCATTAAAAGAAAAAGTAAATAATGTTCAATACTAGGTTGCGATACATGTGTTTAAGAGTAGATCAATTCATTTGAGACATGTAAAATTACTACGCCCATGGCTTGTTTTAAGCCTGTACAAGAAAGACGTTTAATGTTACAGGACCAAACTGAAAGGGGATTGATTGTTTAAAAGATGAGATCGATTGGGCCGTATGGTATATGTGCCTAATAGGCATGAGTACAAGCATCCCGTTACATTTGCATATGTAGTCTGTTTTTGTTAGCCTAGAAGTGATTAGAGACGGGTCGACTGGCTCTCTCAATTAAACGGTATTAAACTAAATTTACTGTTAAATACCTCGATACATTGTGTTACTAGTCTCTTAACTAACAGACGTAAAGTAAGAAACATTTGTTGGCTAATAATAGCTAAAAATAAATGAAAATGCGCATCGGTTTTAGGTTTAAAAAAAAACTGTTCGCATCTGTAGATCATGACCGAAACGGTTCGGTTTTTTAACGGTGCAAATGTTGACTTTCAGTATTTTCGCTTGACGAATATGGCTATACATATTATCGTAGCAATCATATCATACCAATATACAATAGACATAAAGTTATTGTAAAGTAATGGCCACATGGTAATAACTAAAGTTCTTTCTACCTTAAGAGAGTAACTACTGAGAATTAAGTACGTGGGTTATTCAGACGCCGATGAGATTATGTTTAGTGGTAAACTTATTGTCTAGGATTTAAAATTTTCATTATTATTAGTAAAGGTGTCATTCTTTCTACGATATCTCATATCTGGCTATTTGATTCTAGATAAGATGGTCAAACGCGTATGCTTTCAGTTTCCTTTGGACTACCCAGGGTATATTTCTGCTATGCTTTTTGACTATTGCTTCTATATTTTTAGATCAATTGCGTGAGAATTAAACAAATTAAATTGATTTTTATCATAATTGTCTTTAACTCATCTGAGTACGGCTTGTATGGCGGTCCGGTTGACAGTCAATGTTGACGTACAGTTTCTAAGTCAATAGTACCTCTCTTCATTTTTAGTAATTCAATAAATTTTTTTAATGCGTCTCTGCCTAATTTGAAGTATTCTTTTGAACCTTTGCGCTAGAAAATAGGATAATCTGCTGCTTTCAGGGAAAATGCATTCGACGATTTTGCGATAAGCGCGGTAGACTTGATCGCTCTACGACGACAGACAACTTTTATATTTATTGGATCGTGATTTGTCGTGATAGGCGCATGCACAATTTAGATTAGTAGGCATTAGGCCCTTTTTCATCAGCTGATTCCGTGCACGAAACTTAAGACAAAGTTAAAATACAAAATTTGCCTTAAGTTAAGGCCAAATAAAGAAAGCTTGTTCTAGAGTTATTGTTGATCTGTTTTATCCGTAATCCTTTTAAAAACTCAGATGCTACTTCTTCTATCATATTAGGGCTTTCAGCAGAAAGGGCGATCTGTGTTGATATCAGATCAATCAAGATGGGCCCTACGTACCGTCAAGCTTCTCAATCTATAAAAATACACTTTGCATGCATCTGCATACTTTTCATGCATAACTGTTAGTATGGATTCGCTGAATGCCCTAAAGCTCAGTTGAATGTCGTATATGCGTATTGGCTTTATTAAGGCACTAACTTCGTTCGAAACATTGCCTATTTGTTGTTTTTTTTTGGAAAACTCAGGTACACAATTATTGCTTGCCAAAAGCCTGATTTTTCAAAATGTGTTTTTTCGGTAAATAACTCTAGCATCGCCAGGCTGCACGATACGGATTCTGCAATAGTTTTTTTTTTGCATTCTACACATGTTGTCCGTAGTACTAACATCAAAGCTTTGTATAAGGGTTGATTAGAAGCGATCTCTTAAGATCAAATCCGGTACTAACAAACACATGTTCTTTGATAAGAAATGATTCCCTACTTCAGCAGGGCTCCTGGAAACAATTACCGTTTTAACGAAAGGGTAACTGCTGCAACTTAGAGTCAAAGTTAAAGAGAGAAATATTGAAGAATGTGCAACATTCCGTAATTTAGTGATTATAAGCGAGGGAAGAGTTCAGTTTTTTAAACGGCTAAACTCTCCAGGTACTGAAATTTGCTGATAGGAAAACGAATACACACCAAGTGTCTTTGATCATGATGAATACGAGTGCTTTCATGAGCGATCATCTTTGACCGTTTATTGGTGTTCTGATTGCCATCTTTTTATGTCCGCAGCCCTCATGGCTATATGGGCACTAACAGTTTTCACCTCTTATTAACTTTTCTATAATCCTGCCCAGAACAAACATAGTTTTAAAGAACAGTTTAAAGAAGCCATATTGCTAATGGTGGTAGTAAGTTCTGCAACGACTCTCTTCGGTATTCGACACGTGCAAGCCTGTAGTGCACAAGTGTCTCGCAGTGGCTTGACGAGTGACCCCTTTATTTGTTGCTACAAACAAAGGACAACGGATAGTCAAAACCAGTCACGTCCAGATTCTTCATCACTTTCATTTCGTTCTATATTTTTCCTCGAACCAGGGGGCGCCGGAGAATATCTAGTGTTTAACATTTATCCAGTAACAAAATTAGAAACAAAGGAACAGTTTTGCGGTGTAGACCCGTTTAAATTAAAATTCACGGATGGAGTATTTCACATAAACGCAAAATGACAAGGATTAGCATTAAATGTTGCAATTATCAGTTGATCGTAAACTTTTTTTTTATTGTAGTCGGCTTATATCGGGTTTTGAAAAGATCGTGGTTGTTTTCTTAGCTAGGTGGCTCTAAAATATCATATATTAGTTAAAATAGGTTGGGTCGGGTCGGCATTGGTGCCATTTAAAAGCTAAGATTTGGCAGCGCTGGATGAGCTAAAATTGTTGAAATACCTTTCTTTCAGATCTAAGACAAAGCGCCTCGAATATGAATTTTGTGAAAAATATGTGAAAATTCGCTTTATTTTGCAATTTTATAACGATAAAGCTATAGATGCTGCCCGGACCCATCAAATGACTATGACCAAGATGCGTTATCGGAAGAAACTTCCCAGAGGTAACTCTCTTGCTTTCGTCCTAAAAATTTCGACATCAAGGTCCTTCTGGTAGTGGTCAACCAATTAGGAGGAAAATTGATAAAATGAAAGCGAAAGTTGAACAAGTCTGAGACACGAAGAGCCATTATGTTGCCACAGAATCAAACATTCACCATCAAATAGCCTAAGTCATTCGACAAAAAAGCTGACTAGAAAAAAAGGCCCAATGTTTAGGTGCCACACGAATTACCGCAACAGAGTTTACTCGATCATATTTTCATCGACCAAATTTTATCGAAACGCAACGAAGTCGATTCATTTCTAGGATGATTGGTCGCAAGTATAGTGATCATGCCCATAAGCGGCATGAATTTTCTTTTAAATCATTTGTATTTATATAATGATGACATTGTCAAACATGTTCAGTTTTTTACAGAAATTTAATTTAACTTGTAAACGCTCTGTCTTAAGTCTGCCTAAAGGCATGCCAACAATTTTAGTGATACTGGCAACGCTTAACTTTCAAATGATCCAACGCGACCCAACCCATTTTACCTGAGATATGATACTTTTGAGTCCTCTAGCTGGAAAAAGGGTTAACACTTTCTTGACAACTCAATATTTCTAAAGCAATTAAAAAACAAGAAACAAAAACTCTTACAGGTGTATGTTCATATGGGTAATGCCTCGGCGTACAAAGGGTACATACTTGGAAAGTACGCAAAATTCCAACTCTCCTTAACAATGGTCTTCGGTGCTTCTTTTTAATAGTGATGACAGTAACCCTATATGGTAGGTATTTATTGTAGTTTATTTTAGGTAAAATGGTTGAAAGCGAATATCTTCGGCCGGAGGAAGTTCAGGACTACCTAGAACATATGCTACAATCTATATCGAATTTATTATTTTTATTCTGTAAATGTAAATAACATCCGAGTAGAGGATTGCATAGTTCTTGATTGTTACTTTCTTATTGTTGATATCTGAAATCCGCGTACTTTTGTACTGGGGTCCATTATAAATAAAACTATCATATTTTGATCCCTTTCTCTTACCCTAAATTTAGCTTTTTCGTTTTTCAAAGAAATTCATATACGATTGCTTTGAAATTCTCACGTATGATCTTGGGTAAACAGTTATGAACACTTGATGATTATGATTTATTTGACCAAAAGTGGGGAATTGAAAAGTTTATATTCGCCGGATGGTTTTTCGTTTGCTTAACTTATTCTCTTCCTTTCGTATCAATCACAGATAAGTTTAAAGAAGATAAGCGCGGAACATTAAGTCCGACAAAAATTCCACCCGAAAATTCCATGTCAGTCGGGTCAGCCCATTTTTTACAATGGCGGTCGTTATTTTTTGGGCACACCTTATCCTTTCGCATTTCCATGCTGCTTTATGAGGAACCTTTGTAGTGGACGGAAAGAGCCTACAGCCTTCCGAACTTGACCGATGTATCGCTCGCCTATTTCAATGCTCAATCTAAGTGCACTGTACTTTATGTTTAACAATAATTCCTGTAAGAGAAATGCGCCAGACTCTTGAAAGCCAAAAACTTTTATTCATGTCACAATATATTGAATCTAGTTCCAACGACCGATGTAGTACCGCTATTGTTTATAACAAATCTGATGATTAGCCCTACATTGTGGTACGATTATTATAGATGATCAATAGTATAGCAGACTATTTACAGTTATTCAATTTTTACTGATTTTTTCATAATAAAATCAATTATCGATCGTTGAAGGTGATACATTTTAAGCAAATCTGTGGGAAAAATAAGTTTCCCTAATGCACTTTTGTTTACCGACGTTTAGCCCAGAGGTCAAATTCGTTACTGCAGGTTTGATTAATTATAATTAGTTTGTTGTTCAAGGGTGTTTTCGGGGGCGAATGGGCACTATAGCCGAATTTTCCAACGCAAAGGTTCGTTTAATTGGAAATGCGACTGTTGTGCCTGAACCTTGGAGTGAAGCACTGGAATAAGAATAGATGTTCTTCACCGAGTCGTATATTCAGTATATTAGTAGGTACGTATCTAATGTAAAGTCTATGCCGAACTTTGTTTTAATTGACAACAGTACTATGATGCCGTTAAAATAGCCCCAAAGGCACAGTATGACGGAGGGCGATTTAATGGCGACACATCGAAGTTTTTCATCGTATCGAGTTCCGTCACTTTCACCTCCAGTATCGTCAGACCTCAATGATCCGTTAAGGGGACGATGGAGATTACCCTCATGACATTACAGTTCTAGCTATTTTTCTATACATTTCTATGTTTCTTGAAAGAAAGTGCGTGATATAATCTAGATCCTGATAAAAAAAAACTATGACGTGAATATTTTATAAAAAAAAATTGCTATTTGTAAATGATTGAGAACTAATTGTGTACAAGTTATCATCGGAAATATTTACACATATGAATAAACTGAGATTGTTATACGTTCTGAACGACAGTTGATTCATGCGACTATAAAACGGCCGAAAGTTTCTAAAGGAAAAAGTATCTATTTCAAAGGCAAGGGAAACTGACAAGGTCCTATGTCTTAATTGATTCAGGTGGTAAACCTAAAAAAATAAATAAAATAAACCTTGCTATATCGCGGCTAGGGCTCCCAACGTGTGAAGGATTACGTGTTGGTGAGATATCGGAATCAAACGTGAACCAGATTAATGTGTTTTATAAATGGCTTATTAAACAATGTATTGCATTTTTTTTATTGCAATTCAATTAATTTAGCAGTAGGCTTTTGCTGTCTGGTTTGCCTCTATGCTGATTTTGTTCCTACCAGTATTTATGCCTAATTTTTTAGTTACTTAGCTCCTTTATTTGAACCATATTACTATTACATTTTAGGGAATATCAATCGTATATTTTAACTGGCTAGCCCGACCTAATATTAATGGAAGAAGACGTAGAAGGTCACGTGCTACATATTTGTCTATGAAATATAATAGAAGCATGGTGAAAATTGTTAACCAACAACTTAATTCTCTTCTGAATTTTTTGTCTGTGAAATATAATAGAAGCATGGTGAAAATTATTAACCAATAACTTAATTCTCTTCTGAATTTTTTGTTTGCAAACTTATCATTGCTTTTGATATCGGTCTTTAACTATTAAGTCTGTATGAACTATCAATACCGATGTATACAAGAAAAAAAGACACTAAAAGAAAACGCCGCCGATTTTTTTTATTAAAACCCTAGTTTATTGTTTTAGTTGACTCGTGATATCTATCAGTATATGTTTGTATTTGTATGTTGCCTAGAAAGAGTAAAATTTAATAAAAAAAAAAACTGTCTGCAGTAGATACTTATGTCTCGTCATCTTTATATCCCCCATATATATATATGCATTGATTGCTTCGGCACGATGCTAGACGTCAAGTGAACTTTGTTATTTCTACTTGAAGCCAGAATGATAGGCAAATATGGAGTAATGGAGGCTATGGCTACTAAGGTTATGAAATATGAATAGTAAATGATAGTGACAGGCGAATATAAACCATTTTTCTATCATAGTATAAATAGGATATATAAGCATAATTAGTAGGCAAACGTTCCGAGGAACGCGCAAGGGAAAGATTGTAAATTAGAGGAGGGCAACAGTCACTGACTGTGCATTATAATGATAGTTTGAGGCGATTAAATGCTGAGGTAAGTTGAGAACTTTCAAACTATATGGCTGTTCAAACGAAATGATGGTCTTATATCTCACTTAATTCGACTATATCTAGATATGATGTAGAAGTATACAATGAATGATAGTGATACCGCATTAATGTTGGTAGTTTACTGTTTTTGTGCGTCACTCTATCTGTACAGCAGAACCTTCGAATTCTGCTTACCCTCCAATGCGGATATGACATCAACTATCATCCAAGCTTTATGAGTAAATAATGAAGATGCCAAAGGATGCCAATGGAACAAAAACGAATATGCGGCTAATGAGAACGAACCACTAGTAACTGTTTTTATCTCTATAAGCAGCGAGCGAAGTAAACATTTTGTACCCGTTAATAATTTTTCGACGATCCCCGTTCCAGTTTTTGCAAAACTATATTTCGGTCTAATAGATCCTCTTTTTTCTTCAGGGCGCGCGCTTCAAAGGGATTCTTATGTAGACCAGTGTTCTAACCTTTTTTTTTTTCAGCATTATGTTAAAATAAACCATCTGGCTAAAGAACAACAGTGCATTGTTGTGATGTCGTGCCGCTGAAGACCATATTAATGGAGACGTATGCATAGGTAATGCACGTAAGTCATGTATACGTAGCGCACGATAAAAGTTTGAGAAAAGATATGTTACTATGATGTACGATATTGCCAAATACTATATCAGCGGCATTTGTAGAAATGTGTCGTAAGTGGTCAGCTGAATTGAATTCGGCACGCAAAAAATGGTATCCTTATTTTCTTGTATTTATGCTTTATTTTTGAGGCTTTTCACTTACTGTTTCTTTCCTTCAGCCTACTATGATTTAGCAGCACCATTTAGAGGTTAGAAATTACTCCAATATCTACAACGATAAAAAATGTAACAATCTAACAACGTAATCCTCTCTCCGTAGGGCGACCGTCGGAGCTATATCAGTCTTATTTTTAATAAACTTAACTGCCTATAATTATAACCCAGTATTTACCTATCGTGTTCGGCGATAAAAATGTTCGGCGCAGTTTAATGTATCATGTCGAATTTCATTCTTATATATATGGCCCATTGCAACAATAGGGGTGAAATGGTTTGCAGAAGGGGTCAACTTCGAGTGACTTGTAAAAGTCAACTTTCTTATTGATTAAACACAACTTTTGTTATATATGCTTTCCTTTTGTCACTCTTCTTGCATGTCCTTCTCTTCTATAAAACTATGATTCCTCTAACGCCTCACTCTGATTTCAGTTAGTTTTGGCACAGAAAAACGAGCACACTGATGCAATAGATTGCATACGGTTATTGTGTCGCGAAATACGTCCTTTCCTTAGAGATACCTTTATAGGCAAGTGCTGGGGAATGAATGTTCGCCTTTGCATTTACCATAAGTCCTCCGATGTCGATCTGGAATTCGTTTTTGAGAATATAGTCGTTTGTGACAATATGTCGCTCATATTTGTCGCTAATATTTTCAATGAATCCGAGCAGTACCTGTAAATATCGTACCGGTTGAAAAGATTATGCGAGCTTAATTATTGTGGCACGATATCGCTCAGTTAATATAAAAACCTTTAACAATGCCTACTACTATTATCTACCTAAATATCAGAGACTTATCTATGGCAGTTAGTCACTAAGTTAGTTTGAATGTGACACAAAGCAGTAATCATTGTGTGAACGTTGAAGTGTAGTGAGTTTCTAATATTCTCATACGTACATGGGTGCTAAGCGTGAAGCCGTACGCAGTAGTTGTTACTCGGCCAACGACTCGATCGTTAAGGTAGATTGGCTCACCGCCCCATGGCCATGGATCCGTTTCATAATCGTGGTCCTTTAGCAGAAGCTGGACAAAACGTCGCTTCACACCCTGATCTTTCTGTTTGATCAGAGCTGCCTTGCCGATAAAATTGTCTTTCTGTGCAGCCCATAGCAAAGTCGTAATAAGAACCACATAAGAATGGCTTTTGGATATGTCAGTTTGGGATACATATAAAATGTCTTTTTAAATGGAAAGAAAACGATTTAAATTCAGTTAGACGCTATACTCCGCCAAATTATAGATGTTCCATGAAGGTCTGAGACACTAGAGCTTAGCATGACTGCACATAAACGTTTAAATAACGGAAACTATATTTAAACTAATAAATAATACTGATTCCCTTGCCAGTCCAGTAAATTGTGGACATTATTACTAACTTGCGAAGCTTTACAATTGCCTTTTCCAAGAGAAATTCATGATCACATTAAAAATCAAGTACCTCAAATTTAACGCGGAACGCTCTGCCACATTCGAGCGGTGTGGTCGTCCGATTGAAGTCTTGGCCCCAGAAACCAAAAAATTTTTCAATTCGCAACGTTTTCATAGCGATATAGCCGACATGCTGAAGTCCATAGTCCTTTCCAATATCGACAAGTCGATCGTATACATGAAGAGCATACTGAAATAGAACGTGTGGTAAAATTAGGTAATAAAGTATAAAATGGAGTCCGTGTTGTTTTCACACGACGTGAGCGCTCAATGAAATCGCGCATTATTATCGTTATTTGAACCTGCCTCCTTTCTGTGTGTTCTTTATAGAAAAAAACTATATATATCGTAGTCGAAGCTATCTTGAATATGCTCTAAAAAGATTCTCTAAAAAATGCCGTAAAAAGTGCTTGCGGATATGTACAGTTCAAGGTACTAACTTTAGTCAAGATGTTTTTGTTGCGCAGTTTGGCGCGATCTATTGCTAAGAAAAGAGAAGCGTCAATGAAAAGGCTTCCTTGTACGATGCTATTATTTATTTTACAATTTATTATTTAATAAGTGATCGCCGCTTATTTTGTAAGTCTTGCTGTATGTAACGTTAGAGTTTACCTCATTGGGAATGTACATGACCCAGCCCATTTCTCCGGTGTGTGTCATGTGTAGCATACGGACTCCGCTAGCCATCCAAACATCGCACTCTTTATAGGTGAAGTAAGGAAAATCTTTGATGCCCATCTTAAGACCCGTGAGCTGTTGCATGAGATCGCGCGAATTAGGCCCAATGACACAGATTGCTGTATACATGGACGTCAGATCAGCTACCCAAATAGGTTTCTGTTCAAAATAGTAAAAAATACAATGATAGGCATATATAATTGTAATTAGATATTAGTATATGTCTACATAAATATAACTATGGGAAGGCAGTTAAGATAGGATAGGTGGTAATTAGGAAGTACGTTGCACTTGCTCTGGTCATCTACTATCTATTTACCAAACGTCGGTCTGTTTATTATCCCGTTAAAATGTTTCGATTATGTTTATTTTTGCGGTCAGATACGATCAGCTCTCATCTCTGTGTTTTTGCAATAGAATTTGTGAGAGACAGCTTGCTTTGTTTGATTTAAGAAAGTGCTGTAAATTCTATGATATTTAGGAAGCGATAACACTAACATCTCCGATGTGCCACCGCAGATATGTTTGGGCCCGCTGTTGCTGCCGGGTAGGACAAACGATCATAAATTTATTGGGAGCCAATCGCACCAAGGAACAATCGTTTTCATAACCACCCTGTTCATTCTGCATGCCTGTGTTAACAATGTGTCCCACGGGAATGTCGACATCGTTCGAACAGAGATTTTGAAGGAGAGTCACAACTTCATCACCTAGAATTGTTCATATAAGGAAAAACGAATAGATTTGTTTGAATCAATCATGAAGACCTGAATCAACGGAACCCGACCCATTGTAATATTATCATAATTATCTTCCTTTAGATGAAAAAAGTTAGAAGCGGCGTAGTATCGGTGACCAACGCACCACGGTAACTCTAAATGTACGGCCGGCCGTATTACCATGCTGTATTGTTTATCCGCTGCAGAAACCCCAAATAACTAAAACGAGATTTATTCCAGCTGGGCTTTTTAGAATGGGCCAAGTTTTTGACGTTATGCCGGGAGAGATTTTGTCCATAATTTGTTTGTGCAATACCAGTAGCCGAAGGAGTAAAAAATCATTATCGTTTGCTACTTGATTTGTGGAAAGTGCCAACCAGGTGAGGTAATCTCGAGTTTAGTGAATGACGAATAATCTATTAAAGCCACACGCTCTCTTGTGGCTTCGTACTCGCTCTGCACCAGGTCAAAATACGGCGGCTTGAAGAAGGTCTTCGTGTGGGACACGCGGGCATCTTTCAGTGATTTGTCTGTGGAACATCATTAAAAAAAAAAAACAGTACGCATGCGTAAAACTATCTCTCTGTTTTATAACTGCTTGAAACATCTAAGTTCGTATACCATGGTGTATACAAACAATATGTAAACGCTCAAAATAATCAAAAAGAGAGTGTTCGTGAAAAATAATGTTGCTCATTTGTTGAAATTTGAAAGATTGTAATAAAAGACTTTCGTTAAAAGGCTGGGAACTATAACGACATGAGCGTCGCAAAGCCAGGACGTTTGATACCTTCTCTAACACTAAACAGTAAGGAACATGAATAGCGAGAACATTCACCTTTGTACTCGGGATCGTAGTATCCCGGCCGTTCATATCCCATTGTCTGGCCGAACATTGCTCCTGCATCTCGCAATCTTGGGTAGATGGGTGACATCCGCAACTGCCGACCAGTCTCAAACTCCAGCAGAGGGTAGGGCATTCGATAGTACCTTGAAAATGACACCCAGTTGTTTGTTTATTAACTTCTTTTAAATCTTCCTTATGTACCTTTCGTCGAACTATCGTTTCATATCAACCTTCCAATGTTAATTTTCCCAATTAAATAGTGCTTAGTCGTTTTTGTTGTCATATATATATATATATATGGTTAATTGCTGCGTTGTTCTATATTAAATTTTTAGTTTATAGTCACATGCGCAGTATTGCAACGCTTACAATCCAGGCACTTCTGTAGCTCGTTCCTTTAAAAATTGCTTATTATTGTGTAGTCCAATGAAGCGTTTAATGTCGACATCCCACAGATCCTGATGGGGCTCTCCGTTGACGATCCACGAAGCTGTTACCCTGCCAACTCCGCCCGCAGCTTCGATTCCGATTGATTTCATCCCTGACGCAACAAAGTAGTTCCTTAGCTGAAATCGAATAGCTTGAAATGCTATTACGAGATCAATTATCAATCAACGTAAACTGTGTTGGGATAAACGTTGGGATTGAAAAGCCCAAAACTATAGTACAAAACCACCATGAAAATAAGTGTAGAAGTAAAAAAGGAAAACTACAACTTATAAGACACACAATATCGTCATTCAAAGGCTACATTTTAAGCTACACAATAGACTAACCGTAAAATAGATACAGAATAGAAGGTCATGAGTTATCTGTCATTTACTGACCTCTGCAGACTCTCCCACCAGCCATCGACCATCAGGCGTAAAACTTTCTGGACTGTTGTAAAGCCTATCCACCTCTACATTTACCAGCTCGGGTATTCGAAACAGCATTTCATTAAGAAGCACTGAAAACTGATCCCAGTCCTCAGGCAGTAGACCGCGACCTATCGCTGGCAAATTATCGAAGTCGACTGGCTTTGAATGATTCTCAAAACCCCCTGCTATATATTTTCCATCCTTTACACTGTAACAAAAATAGAAAATCAAGGAGTGTAATTTAGTAATGTATCTGCTCGAGTCCTGCAAAGCCGTGCAATATTCAATTATCTTTGACTTCCAGTTTCTATTATATTTTGTCTTTTTTTTTCTGGTAAACGAACATAGAGTTAAAAATAGCGCGTACAGCACTTCTAACGTGGTCAGCACAGAATCAAATGCCCGTGTCGATGCTTCTGGAGCTCAGGTTGTGACTCAATGCAAAGCGCACACATGTTAGCAACGACTTTGTAACAGATGAGGAAGCCTTAAAGATAGTTTTCGTTTTTGGCCACCTGTCACAAAAAATAGGGACCAAAGCGTGCGAAAAGTAAAACAGTTGGAAAACTTTTCACTTAGTACACTTAGTTCGGCAAGGATCGCTTTAAAGGGCTAACTGGAACTTAAACTTACAGAGACGGTTAGGTTGGGGCCAAATTGAATTACTTATAAAAACATCGCATTACTTCTTAACTTTGCATTCATTGTCCTATAGCAATTCACTAAGAAGAAAGCCAGTGGAGCTTACTAATAATGTGTTTCGTGACTAACGCTGATGATCACGAGTAAGCAGCAAACCACGTTAGTTATGTGCTTCAAGTTTTTCCAATTGCACTACAGCTTACGTATGTAGTTTTCTGATAACGTCCAAAAGCTACACGAATACATACCGAATGTAGAAGTTTCCATCATAGTCATGTATAACAGGCATGTTTTCGTTGATTCCTGGCACGGGCTTCGTGTGTAGAAAATAATGCTCGCAGGGATACAGAGGTATCTTCACGGGTGGATTACTTAACTTCCCGATTAATCGACCGAAATAGCCAGCCGCATTGACAAAATATTCACAGTCTGTCCTACCTGCATGAAACACATAGCACATTTAATCGAAGTAGCGCAACTTATAAGATAGCCTATTTAGTTATAATGATGTTATTATAAAAATTTAAACTAACAACAACAGGACTACCTACCGGAAGTGCGATGAAGATGTTATTTGGCATCTTCTCTATAGCTCGTCCTCGGATAGTTCACTTAAACGTTTCGGTATGACCCACAAAGATAATTTTACATATATTTCAACTCAGTTCCGTTAATCCAGTTCTTTATAACCTAGTGAAAACGTTCATTAGAATATATCAAAGGACGCATGAACATAAATCTCACGACCAAATTGCGAAAGTCTCGCCACACTCTTTCATGTATCATCAAACATATTGAAAAATAGTATACGAACCCACAAATGGTTAGCGTGTAAACTTACCGAAATTGCTTTCTACTCCTGTCACCTTATTTGTTTGGGGATCGCTGAGGATCCGATTGATAAAAAACCCCTCAACGACTTTAACACCTAATTTTTCTGCCTCACCGGCGAGAATGTTGCACAGTGCATGCGTATCCGCCACACCATCTACAGGACACCAGAGAGCACCCTCAAGTCGTTCAGTTGCTATATTGGGTGATAGCTCCTGAGCCTCTTTCGGCATTATTATCCGCGCGTCGACGTCCATGCTTTTTGCAACCGCGGCCATTCGGCGGAAGGCGAGAAGTCTACAAACAAGCCGTATAACACAAAACCAGGCGTCATCACTAGAATCATTTGTAAGTATATTATTCCGATCAATTGGTTTACAGCTTAATACATTAGTCTACCCTGATAAACGTTGTCATGATGAAATGTATTAGGAGAGTAGCAAAGGCTTTAGACGATCGTTAACGGCGTTGAATGCACCTAAGCAGGGCAGTTTGGTATATCGCAGCGTGCAAATGAATGTAGCAGAAAGACGACCTGGGGCAAACACTCAAACACTGGTTGGGCGCCCCTTAGAAAGTTTGCCAACGTCGCTTGCAGCGACAGTCCTTTGTCTTCTAGTGAGATATCAATGTAATAGAAGAACGAGGAAACTTTTCGCTCAAGCTTCGTGGAGTTAATTAGAGCTCAATATTGAATGCTTCCCGGACGACTTCTAATATCGGCAAATACCTCTGAATCCACACAAAGATTTCTATGTCATCCGATGCCACTCTAGTGTAAACGTTATCACATCAGGTATATTCTCTAGGCAGAAATGTCATACCTGCCAATTTTATAGGATGTTCAAAATCAAAATGCTCATAGTGGAGTACAGTGGAAAAAAAAGGGACCAAACGTTTGCCAGGAAGCAAGTGTTTAACAATGTAACTGCAGAGCTGATCTTACTCCGATATATCCATAGCTAAGAAACATCAAGTGGCAGATTGAAATAATTAACTTATAACTTGTTGTTGAGACTAAAACACACTGAACTTTACTGCGATGTGCCGACAACCCTCAAGGACACAGAAAAAGTTAGTCATTTCACGTCAAATCCCTTCCCTTAAGTTACAACAAATATGCCTCGTAACTGCCCTTCACTGCACGTACCTTTCTTTAGTCCTAGCCAAATGCAGAGAACCGCACTGTTTCCAGCCAGTTTGGTGGCCCATATCCTGGAGCTGTTTGTAGAGTTCGATTGAGTATTTGCTCATTCGACTTTCAATCGTGCGATTCTTGATCTGGCTCAGAAGGCTAGCTCCGAAGCGAGTCGACCCTCCGCCGATTCTAGATGGAATCGAAGGTACAATGAGTGCAGAAACAATTCATAATCCAATTAAGCGATATTTCAGTGCTCAGAACTGAAAGGGTCCACATAAAGAATTTCACCTATGAAATATCAAAATGAGGACCGTCGTAACTGCAACATCCAACTTTACTCATTGCTTTAATATATTGTGGGAACATCTCGATGTAGAGCTCAGTATAGATGCATTTCTCCACGATATATTGACTCACACGACTTTTCACCCGTTTAGAACCGCTTATCATCTAGCTCGTGGCGGCCCAAAGCGACACTCAAGGCCGGCGCGAGCGTTTAAGCCAATTTTATATTTAGTTAATTTTGGAGTAACAAGACAATTTTCATGCAACGAAACGTCGACGATCTAATGGCAGGACAAAAGTGGAGAAATACGCGTTAAGGATTGGTCGTCGTACGGCTTGAGCTTCTGTAGGGGACGCGCTATTCAAGTTCCAAATCATGTCTTGCGCCGTATTGAATTTGTCCTAAATAGGCTAAAACAACGTGATCAGTTATTTGCACAAGGGATTAAATATATAAAAGAAAATAAATAAATAAGAACATTTATGGTATAAAACTAGAGTTATCCACGGGTTCGTTAATTTTCTATACACGGTGGTCATTATGTGCGGATCAGATAAAATCGCAAAGCAAATTCATAGATATACGTACGGTTATTGAGGTACCATTCTAAAGGTATTATTGTAAACGTATCGTTTTCCAGCTGCTGAATTACTGCCAATTATTCGCATTAATATCTTTTGAGGCATTGTTAATTATGAATCACAAACAGTTACAAATCGTAGGTTTACAAATTCACTGAACGGACTTAAAGTATCTATAGGTAGACATGTAGGATCTGAACATAGGACATGAAGGTAGTACGCTGCATCCCACGTCATACTCCCTGGCACCTACTTTCCCCGGTCGACGAGGAGAACATCTGTAATGCCATGGATTTTCGCGAGATGATACGCCACAGAGGTGCCCACGATGCCTCCACCACAAATAACGACTTGTGCAGACGTGGGCACCTGTGCGTCGCGAATCAAGTGATGGTCGTCAGCCACTGAAATCAATAAACAAAAACATCTGTACGTCAACTGGTTTATTCTTCATTCATACAGTGTTCCACTACGTTGCAATTGAAGTAGGCTAGTCTTAGTGCTCTCTGGGTGACAATCTGTAGGCGAACACCTGCTTACAAAAGGTGTGTATTTCGTAATTAAAAACGTTTCAGTGAAGATCTTACAAACATATCATGTTTAGTTCGTATCATTTCCCTCCAGCAATGACGACCGCATTGTAAGCAAACGATGCGTTTCAATCTTGTTTCTATACAGACATCAGTGCTAAAATTATGCTAGATCTTTTAATAACGCCACTAAAAGTCATTGCTTGGCTGACTATAGTTATAGAACTACTAACAGTTCTCCAATTTGAATCGCAATCCTTTCCAAATGTTTGCTAGTCTTTTGAGTAAGACGCAAGGTTACAGACGTTAGGCTTAAAGAGATCCGTAATTGAAATTCAGTCGAAATGAGCGTTGCGAGCCCGCGTAACAGCGAATGCGATCGATAAGAATTTCTGTCCCTGGATTGCCATTACAGCGATCATCATGGAGCCCTTTCGTCGGACAGGAAGCCTAACGGTTGTTTTGTGCATTTATTTAAATTAGTCCATATAGTACCTTCTTAGAAACTTCATTACTTCATATGTGAACTTCTTTCAGTAGACAAAAGGCTAGAGTCAAAAATAACTGTTCTACTAATACGCGTAAATACGTGTTCCCCCTGAGCTAGGTCAGGTAGCTGTTCTTCTGCTGAATCGCGGCGGGAAGGCTGAGCACATTTATAGGGCGCGCATCCCGTACTTGCCTACATATCGGCGTCGCGACGGCACTTGGCGTGTGAGAGTCTGCGCAGATACGACTTGGACAATGAGGCCTACCGCCATCGGTATGTGTGTACAGGCACTTGCGTCCTCTAAAAGCAAATGATTTTTACCTCGACATTTTACCCCAGTTCTGGTTGCGTCCATACAATACATCCATAGCCGAATCTCACTGCGTCTCCTACGAAAATTTTAATCGAGATAAAATGACTACCCAGCTTATTGTTAAATCCATGAAAAAGGCTAGCGCAGACGAGTGAAGGGTAATTCTAATTTAGTACGATGCTTTAAGGTTTTTTTAATGCCCGAATGGCTAAATGCTTAGCTACTTATATTAGAATCAACTTTTGAATTTAAGTACATGTGTATGCGGTCATAAGATGGGCGGTTCATGAGAAAGTTGAGTATGTAACTGATCTGGTGACGTCATAAATGTATCATTACTACCTTTTTTCGAAATATTTAAATGAATTCTCATTTTCCTAACTGGACGATTATGAAATGTACATCTACAAATGTAAGCTGTTTTTCAAACATTTTGAAAATTTGCGCCTTACGGATCTGTAGAGACTCCACTATTTAGATCCGTCAGTAGAACATTTAGCTTAACGAAAAACCACTTCTAGAGGACAGCGAAGGTCCTACTGACTGATTTTACGGGCACCCTATACAGACTACTTAAATCGTTCCCGCAAAAATTACACAAATCCCAATACAATCATGGCATTTTGTAACGATCACGTCGTCTGACAGGTCTCACTATACGCCTATAACGTATCTACTACTTCGTATAGTTTTAAGGCTCGTTGGGCCTGTGTGTTAATCTCGATTTTCATCAGTAGGCCTTGCTTTCTGCACGCCTCGATATTAAGAAGACACTTTGATCAGCCATCCATAATACAGTTATAATTTATTTGCCAGCTTTCAACTATTTCGTTACCCAACCTACATAGAATAAATGATACTTTCGTAATAACCATTCTAGTTTACATCGAACTGCAGATATAACTTACATTTTTTTTGCGGATACGACTAAGACCACGCATAAATAGAATAGCATTGTGTACTCAAGGAAAATTTTCTCATTCAATAGTTCTTAACCCTGCTATGATGTCAAGCTATGACAGTAGCTCATGGTAACTACTATATGTGCTATGTCAATCCTATTAGCGAGTATGCCTTATTTGCAAAATAGCCAATTTTGTAACGGCTGTGCGTATCTGCTCGGCAACGCGATACATTGACCAATTTGAGATGGAATAATCATGACGGAGGTAAGTAATGTATGACGAGCTCAGATAAGTGAATCGCTTAACTAACTTTCGTTCGGTAAGTGATCAAATACTGTATACATCAATAAACAGGTAAATTATAGACGATTCCTCGTCTGTTTGTCTACGTCTAAATAAACTTAGGGCAACGTCACATCTGTTCAGATTGAACTCAACGACAGGTTGTCGGAACGAGCAAAGACGATGACGAGTGGCTGAACACCTGAATGGATCAGGTGGTGGTAAATAATGAATCAATTGTTACTACTGCGATGTTGCTATAGTTACAACGATAGATTGCCGTCGTCGGAAAGCGGTAGTCAGAAGATGATAAAAACGCTGATTAACGCTTGACTGACAATGTACAGAGGATTAGCTATTTTGTCTGCTATTACGATTGTTAACGAAACTAGCTCGTGGGTAAATAAATAGAAGAAATTCATTGTGATGTATTTCACGCCGACTTACATATGCGATGAAACGATCTCTCGACCAATCTAATAACCACCCCTTAAATTACAGGTTTACTGAAACAACATATTCAAAAATTACGAAACAAGCGGGTCATCTAGTACCTGTACTAGTTGTTGGTATATTTCTCTAGATCTTTGTGGTCTAGATGGTCAGTTTTTATGATAATTTTATTGATTCTGGGTTGGTTGACATCAGTATCTTGCAGTGTTTAAATAACATCCCGCTTCACACATTTATGTTAAAACAATGTTGCCTTTTCTACAATGCTTTACGAATGGTAAGCTTACTAATTTCAGCTTATTGCCTTAGGCAAATCTCTTAAATTAATCACAATTCGCCTTAGTATGTTTCAAGAATATTACCTGCTTGCTACATTTCTGGCCGCGTACCTCTTTGAATGATCTTTTGCAGAAGAAAGTTTCAACAGTTTCCTAAAACCAATGGGCACTCGCCCAGCAGGTGCTACAGCCTTCACCTTTTCCTAGTACCATTTAAACTGGCACACCGTAAAATATCTACCACAACAAATCAAAGTAATCAATACGCTTACCTAGCAGAAACTTGCTTCCAGGAGTAGTGCGAGTACAACTATTTATTTATATATGTATATATAGCACTACAAATGCATAGGACAAAATAGGACCGTCGACCCTCTCTTTATCAGTGTAAGTTTTCCGTGTTGGTGTTTTATTCGATCAGTCACCAATGTATGATATCAACATATATCGTAACTATTACACTACATATATTAGAGCGAGGCTCCTAATTGCTACATGACCTAACAGAATCCATAAAGGGCACTACAGAACCAGTTTAATAATACTTGATATTTCAGCTTTTCTGATACGACTGACACGCGGTGTGTTTCTAATAGTGACTATTATAGTATTTTCCGGTATGTATCGTTCCGCTTATCATCAGTGTTCGAATCAGACTCACAGTTCAGTGAACTGGCGTGGGGTTCCCAAATGGTGTGGTCGGAAGCCATACACCTGCGCGCGACTCCACAAGGGCCAGGTGACAGAGCCCTCCGTAAACCCTTGATCGACCGCATGGTCGGTGCACCTTGATAGTAATGCCAACAACAATAGCACTTTTCACACCGAATGGAGGCTCAGGCGCCTTGGACGGTTCGCATATCAAGCTTCGGAGACCGCGGAAATCGTAGCCGGCTTTGTTCCGCCACAGCCCCAGTAAACAAGCACGTCCTCGAGCACCCCACGGGAATCAATTTACGCTACCACTAGAACGGGTAGCGCTGACTCCCAAAGGTCGTGGACAACGTCGCACACAGCACTCGCGCCCTGAACGGTTCGCTAGAACAGCGTCCTACGATTCATAGCATTTGTTTATAGACTGGTAGTTCGAGAGCAGAGAAAACTTGTTGTTGCCGTCGCCCGCAGTGGAGAGGACCAGCGCATCGCAAGAGGGGAAAGGGCCTTCCTCAGCAAACCTCATCGTCTGTGCTAGCTCGTCAACTTCCTATTAGCAAGACAAGAGTGGGCAAAATGCGGAACTCTGTCGCGTCGCACGGGGTGGCCTTTAACAAGACGCGCGCATTCCGTCATTGGGTATAGTGAAGTGCTAAGTGATTTGAATTTTAAATGCCTATTCTATTTTAGTTAAGCAACACTTTTCGACAAGTTCGAAAGAGGACATAAACACGTTTTGTGCCTGTTGCGGTGTGTGTCTCATGTATAGTGAAGTATTAAAGTTGTCTTGAGTGCATAAAATAGGAGGTAAAACGAAGCTAATAAAAGCTGTTGTATTTATTAAGATACCTCATTATTTTTTCAAACTTTTATAGAACGATGCATCAAATCTGTCCCAACAAACTGCTAATAAAGATGCATTATTCATTTCAACAATATCAGCTTGCTTTCAATAGATGTCGTCTGGAGTACGTACTATGTTGGGTTTTGTTTTTATCGACTTGCTGTAGTAATAACGTTGGCTTACTTTAGCCAACATAGTCGCTTAATTCAGTGTAGCATTTAGTAATTTATCTTTTGAAAAACGAGGCACAAAAGGCGGGTAGTCTGCTGTTACTTCGGACATAACTTTCCGAAATCGGATATAATGAGACCGTCAGTATCTGATGCCCTTGGATGTCTGCAATAATCAACAATTCTAAGAGTAGTGTAACTAACAAATAGTCTTAGTGCGTTCGAACACAAATACATAACTTACAAGGATCTTTATTAACTACACATGATCGCCAGTTTTGCACCGTGGGCTAAAAATTAGTAGGTACTTTTTCCATATATTGGTCGAATAATACAAAAAAGAGAGTATCTCCTATCACCGGCCTCAACTTGAAACGCTTGACAGCGAAACAATGCAAGGCACTGCATTGTTGCACATTTGATGAAAGATGCAACATAACTTACCAAGCCACCTAGAAGTTTATTACTTGACGCTCAGTTAGTTTCTTTACCTATGCCGCGGAAAAAACATATTTTTCATTCGGGCTGCACACTACGCTTGTCATTCGTTACGTTTCCATTCACGTAAGCGCCTTAGAAATCCAAACTATCTAACAATTTCTAACTTAGCCTGGAATCACAGCACTGTGAATTTTTACTATAAAAAGGAAAACGAACTATACTATTGAACAAACGATCGTGAGGTGCTCCTGCAAAACTTTTCACAAGCAACCCAATCCTTCAGAGTGTATGCATTTGCAAGTTAGGTACCTGGAACTTTTTTTTCAATATCTGTTTCTTGCGAATAATTACAATGATTGTAAATTATGTTAATAGAACATGCATGCCTGTTTACTCAGATACTTTAAAGATAAATTAAATGTATCGTATAAAGCATAAACGAGCCAAAACATTATCGTAAAATAAAAACCTATTTGAGAATTTTTGCATGCTAGCTCTTGAGTATTATTTCAAGTAGAGCTAATATTAGGATAAAGCAATCCGGCTACGATTCTCTTTTACAGCAACAGTACGAACAAACTTCCGTGGTTCAAGTAACATAAAGAAGTAAGTTTCGATTTCGTGTCGCGTTCCGTTGTGATAACTTACGTTGCCGATCACCGTACTGATATGCAATATATACAATAAAAAATAACTAATATAGTATTTTTTTTTTTTTATTAAAGATGTTGACAGAATAGAACTGAACAGTTCGGGCACACAATGCGACTACTGTTTGTGTTGATAAGTTGAATAACCAGTTACTATTGCTTATCGTGTTGCCTGAAAAGTGATACAATATTTAGGTTTTCAAGTTAGTTCACTTGACACGCTCCGTCGGAAGGACAAACGGACATAAAAGGCATGACTTGTTAGTCGTTTTAACATTCTAGCTATATAAAGAAGGACAGCATGTTTCCTTCAACTGTCCATGTGTCCTTGAAGCGACCTACCTTACCTTTGAGAATCAACTAATAACGTTATTTAGACTTACGAAGTGACCAAACCACGAACGTTTGATATATTCGTCGACATTAAATACGGCCGATCGGCTTCATTTAATCTGCTGGGACGGACGCTTTTGGCGTGAGGGTTTACATCTGTAAGTATCGATATCATAGGGGCTTTTGCAAGCTATTCAGGTTGTAGGTGCTCGTGAAGTTCAGTATCTGCAATCATCAGGATTTATTCATTCAAGCAGTGCGCGAAAGCCTTTTTTTCATTCCAGAGTAACGCATATCTTATGCGGGGAAGTCTCTCTTGTGTATCTCCAGATTCTTACAAGTATCACTCCGCATATATAATTCGGCATGAAAAACGGATCCACGGAATCGTTTCAGACGGAGTTAATCCTGATCAACGAGCTCATTGTAGGCGTGGGCAAACAACCGCTCTCTCAATAACTACAATTCCTTTCTGTTGTTTAGGGGCTGGATGAAATTAAGAACGAATAAATCTGTATGGATTTATCTACTGTTGTGACCGTATCCTTCAATTAATCTTCGGAAGAATACTGATTGTCCGAGAAGAAGGAAACGCACAGGTGCTATTATTGCCGCTGCTGAAGAGAAATTGAGTATCTATCAACTTTTCGTTTTTACTTTCAGTATACAACTAGCAACGTTTAGTAGTGTCGCCAACGCAGTATTCTAGAACGAAACTCAGTACTAATATACCCATATAATCGTATTCGACACCCACTCGATTGACTGTAACAGCTTTTCAGTTGCGTAAATTCAGTTATTCATGAAACGTTCAACCTGGTCCATGAATTCTTTGGCCATTTTAGATGCTCTTTGGTACGCCGTCGTGCAAACGTATGCATAGCCTTGACGCAAGTTTCTAGAAAGCCAGTTCCATGAAATGCACAGAAGGAGACAACTCCATTCGAGTTGCAGGCTTCCGCTTTATAGCGAAAATGTAACTAAAAGCTTTACGCATTTTGGTGTTGACCTTTCTTATATACCGCGCAGCTGGCTACGTTAAGACGCGTCTTTTAGAAGCATCTACGTGATGCTTCCTCAATACGTCGACCGCAAGAGTTCGGCCTCTACACAGATCAACGTTTTTTTTAACCTAAGGTTAGTTTTCGTGGTATCATGTAGAATGCAGGATATTTAAGAGAGCTTTATAGTAGCCGCCAGGTCAGAAAAATCGAAACACAGACCTAACTCCTTGAGGGTCGTATTCCGTCATGGATAAAAAAACAAAAAATCGGGTGATTTATCTCCCCTCTTACTAGGCAGCTAGTGGGTCAGCTCGGACGGCTATCAATCTACAGGCAATTGCTAAATTCGACAAAAACTTAGATTCTATTACTGTTTTGTAGATCGGTTGATTTCAGTCAAGAAGTTGCTTAAATAAATAGCGTTGTTTTTTGGTTTATTTTGTCCTACATTGCCAATACCTAAAATCCCTTTCTTTTCCGGTTATAAAACTGGTCTCTGGGAGGTGTTTATAGCTTTCGCCAGCGTCTATTATTATCATCACCTGGTGCTGCCAATGGAGGAAACATCAGTGGTTGCTTTTGACAAAGGCTTTTAAGCTGCCGTGAAGATATTTCAATGCTTAGGCGAATTTAAGTAAATTTTACTAGTGATGCCAGCCTTGAGTTTGGCGTTTGGTGTTTGAGGCCGGCAAGCACTCAATCTCAGCAATGTTTTTAATGACCAAGTAGAGCATATATGAGGTAATATAAATCTCAGTTTGCTTGTCCTTTTACACCGATTCAGACCACTGCAACGAAAAAATTAGCAGTAGAAAAATAACCGCATTGTATTGTTTATAATTTTTCCGGGCATATTCATGCATTGGCCCAAATAGAGCTGAACGCCATCTTTCTAGGTGTCTCCGGGTGTGCAATTCAACAACACTTACTTAGCGGCATGGACCATACTCTGCGAGATCCATCAGACCTGTTATTTTGTCAAACCAACGGGTCAACGAATCTATAAAATTTCATTCAAATAAACATTTAATTTTGTTAATTTAGCGCATGATATCAGGCCGACGTTCCTACCTCGCAATGTTTCGCGCCTGGCATTTGATGTTGTTTCGACTGCTGAAACTTCGATTCATGTAGAACATTTGAGACCTGGCCAGTCTGGCAATACGATTTTCTATATGTTTTGTGCCAGTTTTAGGCCAAAAGGAAAGAATAAGCCTTAACGTTGATTCGCATGACTAAAAAAGTACCATCGCAATAATATGTGCGGGCCATAGCCTAAATAACGGTGGATGACAAAAGATCTGTGACTACTATATGAGTATCGATGATTCTTCCGGGATTAGAATTTGAATCGGAGACGTATAAATATTCACTTATCCTATTGGTATTGTTGTACCGTTTCCGTTCTATTCAATTCTAGGCCTACATCTTTGAAAATATAAACCGTCTCAGTTTTGGTTAATAATACATCAGAAGAAATAATTAACAGCTTTTCGTTTGTGTTAGCTTATTTATCGGCCTGCCCCACATATTCTAACAAGTCCAACTTTTCAGTTGGGTGTGACAGCTCATTGAGAATCACTCGTCTGATCAGACTGTAAAACACTTTTATTTGAAACGTCTTTAGCTTTAAAATCGTTGTTGTTCTTAATCGCGTCGTTGGTCCTTCACTGTTTTGTTATTGGCGCCACAGAGAACCGCTAACGTCGGCGATTTCAGTTAGGTCGGCTTCTCCCCGGTACGTCGCTGCCATGGTAACGATCCAGCCGCGGACGAAAATATGCGACCAGTCCCAACGATATCAGCGCTTCGGTCTATAGCGACGGCGACGAACCGAAACGAAAGTGTCGAGCGTTATAAAAAACAAAACATAGCATTGTTGTCATCTGCTATTATGCTGTAGTGCTACTTCAGTACTGCTGTACTTGTAAACTCATTGTTGGCTATCATTCGTGTGACGATTAAAATACGCTCACACTGTTTATATACATTGAATCGTGAATAATTCCGTGGATAGATTGTGCCGCCTTAACGCACGCGACTGGTATGTGTTCGGTATTCACTGTTTGTGCATAGGTACGTGGAATAATTTCATAAAAACATAAGCGAAAATTATATTTTCTCAAATCATTTCAAGCTCACTCTCAGGACTCTCTCAGAGCTCAGGACCTGCTATGGAGTAGTGACAACTTTGCCTATGTAAGGTAGCCTTAATATGATATTTAGTTTCCGAGGAGTGAAAGCAGGATGCATTGTTTAGCCTCAAGTTTAGGTAAATCGAATAGTTAGATACTTCAGTTCTTTGCCGCTTGGTCCTTGATGATGATTGATACGGGCAAGGAGCATAGATGGATTGATCTTAGGTGGCGATTATGACCAGCACTATAATTTTCATTTTTTTGTGGACTTATTTCAACTTCTTGACAAATACCCGCTGTTCATTGTGATATGTAGAATTGATTCGAATCATCGTCATGGGTCTTGCACAGTCAGCCCGGCTTTGCTCTGGCTCGTCTGGGTCCTTTAAAATCACATACCCGTTATAATTAAAGGTATTTTCCACTAACTAACCTAAATATTTTGTTTTCTAACGACTAACTGAGTTTCTAACGAAAACACATCTAATTAACGTTTATTTTCAGCCAGTTCCTCCTGTTCAACAGTCTGCACATTGCCTTTGTATGTAAAACGTACTTACAATCGAACTTGCAAAAGGACCACATCGCAAGATTCCATTCACTATTTGATATTATTGTGGAAATAAACACACAGTTCGTGTGTATGTATGAATGATCCTTTGTAAAGATAACAAAAACGGTGTTTATGCTAAGTTATTTTTACCGCAAGCCTCTTTGCCGCGGGGATTGGTTAGCAGTCGTCGGAGTTCGGCGCACTTTCTTACAGCATAACTTCGTACTTTTCTATGTGTATCCATTTCTCATTGTGCCTCGTAAACCGAAAGCTTTAATAGGAGTGTACGGTTTTTCTGCAGCTTTTCGAGCGTATTTCGTTTTGGCTCTCTAGGGAATAACTGCTATAACGGATAAATACTATGGTGGTTAGTTTTAAGATATATGACCAGTAGATGGCTTCTGAATTCTGAAGCACATTAAAAAATAGATTGAATAAATTATCTACTTTTTTCGAAAAGTATCTACTACATCCCAGTATCGTAGATTGAGTATTACCTTCGAATAAGATAGTGTCTCGTATAAGTTTCATTTGAAGAACGATTTTGCTGTGTGTGGAACTAATTTCCAAAATAGTGGTTTGCTAACGGTGGTGAAATCCATTCGAGAGTAAAGAAACACTATATATATTTATATATATGTGATAGCGTCTTGTATAGATTCGTCTCGTAAGAGTTTGCAGACATAGTTCTTATATGGTTCGATAACTTGTTCAATGTGTGAAGGCTGCAATTTAATGCGGCACTTTTCTCCTGATTACTTTATCAAGCTGTACTTGATTTTAAAGCACAGTTTTACACTGCCTCGTGTAGACAGCGGCTGTTTTTATCAAATAGAAGTGAATTTATCTATGCACTTTAGCTTGAAAAACCTATTCCTTTGATTCAGCAGGATAAGCGCAGGTTTCTTGGACAGCCTTGCCGTCTGCTCGATGTTCAAACTTATCTGGCTCTCATCGAACCTACCCCTACGTAGAACTAGTGACCCCAGCTACAGCTCGACAACCTTTCAGGCTTGCATGTATCAAAAAAACGGATTCGCTTTGAATTAATATAAACCTAACACTAGATACCTAGTCCCATATATTCACGCGAAAGGTTTGTTTGGTGAAAACGTTTGATTTTTTCAGATCCAAAGTAGCGGCGCTAAAGTCAGAACTGTCGAAGTGCCAATCCAGAACCGTTACTAGGAAGACTTATCTATCACTTAGCGTGCTACAAAGGTATCAGAAAAATTTGCAATCCCCAAGGACCACACCCATAGTGACTGTATAACCTGTATCATCTTCTTGTAACCGGGAGCGATTAAATCGTACATGTAACACACGAACAGTAGAAACGTTGCAAAACGAACTAACTACAATTGCAATATTAGTGCAGACTTTTTTTTTCATGGTTTCATTTGACGCTGAAGTGATCTCTTTGGTCAAAGAGCACGCCTCTCGCCCGCTGCAACCGTTGACCATGAAGATATTGACAACGCACATAAAACAACATGGCCGCTATATTCGTCATTTCATCGTTTAGTATACGTGATGGTCAAAGTTACGTAGTTTTTTCTATTTACCAACGTAGCGTTTCGCTGGCACCGCAATGCGCCATCCGAGCTGCCGGCCAAATGACAAAATAGCCCGAGCAGAGCAGAACACAAAGCCGGGCTTCTGTCGACTAAACAGACGACAGAAACTCGGCTTGCTATGCCTTCCCGACTTGCTAAGCTCATGACCCAGTTAAAATGTTAGTTGGCTTATTTTGCACGCGCGTTCGTTATTTAATAGGAAATTGTATTGGAGGAAACCTTTGTGTGATCGGAAGGCATCGATAGCACTGGCGTCCTACTATTATAGTAGAGCTATTTCGAATGGGTTTTTTTGATGAAAAGAGCAACATCTACAAATTTCTTTTTGTCCCTTAATAGAATACCCCCCCGAAATAGAATACTGTTATACTTAGCACAAAGCTGGTTGTATGCTCTCAATAGAAACATGCAAAATAGAGTTTTAGCTGTTTGAAGAAAACAGTAGGTAAAAAAAGACGATTTTTTAAATAGTACAAAATGGAAGCTTGCATGATTTGATTAGATAAGTGGTGAACCACACTGGGTCTAGTAACTAGAACTTCCGTTAATTTAGGCGCTGCCCTACATTCTGGTTCGATGCAACGTACGACACAAGGATAAACCTAACCTGTATGTAGTGGACTGAACCACTCAAGTTTCATCCATGATGAACCCATTTTGTTCCTGAATACATCTTAGAAGGGGCAGATTATTCATTTTGAGCTGGAATGATTATTTTTTTTTTTATTTATTACCATCTGATTAATACGTCGTTTACGTGTGCCAATGCAGTAAGTAGTACAATTCGCCTCTGCTGAACCGTATATTCAGGCTGGAAAACATTTCCGAACTTCGGATTGTTGACTCGGCAGGTTTGTGTATGTCTGACAAAACGCATACCTACATATATTAAGAGAAGTATTAGAGATTTGCAACTATCTCATTTTTGCCATTAGTATACGATAGAAATACTATGCAATTTACAAGTGTTTTTCATTTATGCTATAGTAACAAAGATTGTGAATTTGCCCAAAGCATCTTATAGAACCACCGATTTTATCAGAATAAACAAATTTTTAAAATGTCGTGTTCCGTTCATAACGTATCAGCACATCAGTTCCACAATATTCGGGCTGAGCTTCACGCAGTGTAAAGTCTTGGTCGCCATTTGACAGGTCATGACATAGTATTGAATTTCCATCGGTCCAGCATAAACCTCGCGATTTCATAGAGCTTACGGCTGCAAGAACAGACTGTAGCTGTTAAATATATTACAAGCCTAGTACTTGAAAATGGGTTGAGATGCGTTAGCTTGATCAAGCACGTAATACTCGTTAAAACCACTGCTTTTGAATAAAATATGAGGAGAAATAACAACAAATTTTTATTGATAAAGCTCAGAAAAGTGATGCTGTTATTGTTGTTTACTTTCAGATAAAATGCCGTGAAACCAGACGAAAAAATCTCATTTGTGTTTATCAGGAGAAATAGTCTTCCAGGCTCGACAATGGCGTTGCTATTTTTTTTGTTTTCACTCGTGCCATTGGCTTCGGGTAAGGTCCCTCTCAGAATATATCATGCTCACGTAATTGCTATTCGTACGTAACTATCTTCATACGTACTATCTTCATCTTCGTACGTAACGTAAATATCTTCATAATTCCTTGAGAAAATCGACTGTCGAACGCATCACTGAAGCGCGTAACGCTAATTTTATCCTACCACAATTCGTAACAACCTAACCTGAGCCTATCATCATTTAGAACAATTACTGTCATTAGCTGATATGCAAACAATTATATCGAATTAACGAAATTTGTGATTTTCATTACAAACATGCATAGGCCAAGACAGGTTGCGAGCGGTCATCTTTGAAACAGTTATATTGTGTAGGCCTGTGTTTTACGTATACCCGTTATCCGTCATATACCTTAAAATCTCACTCTCAAAGATGATTCAACGATAAATTTACTAGCCTTGTAGTGCCCCTAAACGATAGCATCTAAAATCTATCTGTTAATTTTTGGATCTCTGTAAATAAGTCCAAAGGAGGACGCACAGCGATGTCGGAAGGGAGGGTGGACGTGTCTCAGTTTTAGCCAAGGTACCTTGCCGAGTTCCACCGCTTAGCTTGGAACACCAAGCGAAAACGCTTACGTGAGCAATTCCAACTGAACACGTCATTCCCGTCTATAATACACGTATCTACTATCACATCCAAAGCTCAATTGTAATATAACGAATTTCGGTGAAGTGGGTACATAAATCGTACCGCAGATCCGTTGTCCTTTCAAAGCTGTTTCACGTGGTCCACGTTCAAATGGTGAAAGATATGTGAAAGATATTTCATCGATCTATCTATATGCTGTCCGTTCAAGAAGTAAAAGAAAAGCCCCTGTTGCATTAATACTTGCAAGACTCTGATAACCCTTTGATCATGACCTATCGATTTGCTCATAAGTACAGGCTATTGTTATTTATTTCTATTTCTGATTGCAATTTTGTAGGAAGAATCAACTGGAAACTACATAGGGATTAGAGTGCTTATTATACAATTTCAATCGAAGTTTGAATCGATTTGTTGTTGTTGCGTGTGTCCACCATAGAAGCCCAGAATCAATCATTAATTTAAAACCAAAAAGATATCAGTCATATTCCTCGCTTAGATTTAATTAAATAAGATAATTCGTCGGTGTCTGCTCGCAATCGATATAGGAAGTCCTTGTCAATACTATCAGTTAGAATAGAGGTCGCTAAGCTCAGACGTTGCGTTAATCGTCGTGAAGCTTGTCGAAACACGTTTCGACAAACAATGTAATACTTTTTCCCCCAACGGCGAACTGATTGTTGCCCTTCTTCATCAAATCATACTACCGCACCATTTATTATTTGTTCTATTATGCACTTCCTGTATTTTTTTAGCAGATAATATTGAGGTTTCGCAGCATCTCTTATAGCCAGTATAGTGGCTGCAAAGGGTGTGTTTTCACTTCTGCTCATTGTAACATAGCTAAAACAATGACAACATCATTTCATTGAAAAACCTAACGCTGTTTCCTGTTAACTGAAGCGGAAATCTGGTGCTACTCGTGCGTTAGCAATCAACCGGGGTGTCGCGACGGCGTCAATTGGTACTACCATCACGCAATCACTTGTCCACGAGAGGACGACAAATGCGTTAAGGTCATCGAGAGAAAAGGAGGTAAGGACACAACGTTACTGAATAAGCAGCATAACAATTTTATTGAGCTGTTCTTGTTTCATAAGTTGTCTACGATCGATGACACATAGATGCTGTTCTTAAAGTTCAATAAAGAGTCCAACTGGACCGTTTACGCGATCAAAAACTCGCGCAAACACTCCATTCGTTTGAAACTTCTGTTTAACTTATTATTCGGTGATATTGCATAGCAACGCATGACCAAGTCTATGCATAATTGCTTTATACTCATCGTAAGTTATGCGAAAGTCATCATAAAGCCATTATCCTGATTACTCCAGAAGCCTAGGTTATTTACCGGGTCACTCATTTGTGCTGAGCGGTTTAAGTTATCGTTACTTGCCTGAATAAGGCTGTTCACTGTGTGACCTAGATTCGTACTACGGCGTTTCGCTTAAGGCACGTAGCAAATTAAGTGTGACGTTGAAATCGACGATTCTCTTATTAAGCGCTATAGTAAGTCTTACACGTATCTTTGTAGTACTGCTCTACCTAACAAGCATGGCATACAACCAACACAAGATTGTCCATGGCTGAATTGTTCTATGCCACCAAAAAACCATTAGCCCCTAAGCTCTTGGATTCCCGAATAGTATAGATGAGTACATATATATACATATATATATATATATATATATATATATATATATATAAAATAAACTAAAATTTAAAAAAAGAGAGAAAAGTAAACCCGGAACTCAAGGATGTTTCAGCGTTCACAGAACCTAGCATTAGCAAAAAAAAAGAAATTGTTCTAACTCATTCTCAAACGGCCACTCGGTCCTTCTATCTCCGGTTGATATTCTAGGTACTAGCTGTCCTACTTGGACCTAATAAAACAGGATCCTAGTTCAAACGGCCCTACGAGCCTTCACTACCTGTTCGATACTCGCTCCTGCCCCATAAGTAAATTGCAACCAAGCTAGGACAACTAACAAATCTGAATAGGTAACGAGGCGCGATATAAACACATGCCGCCGCTGATGACAACTGCTAGCATCTCAGAGATATAGAAAAACAGTTAGCAAAATTACGCCCCGCATTGCTGACAGGTCGACTTTTCAGAGAAACTCGGGTGACAAATGAAAAACGTTCACGAATACATATTATTATTATTCTAAAAATAATTGAAGTGACAGACGGACATGACGTCCTTGGGTGGCTAATATAAGTTACTCATATTTCGTTTTTAAACTTACGTTGTCTAATGACCAGCATGAATAGGTAAAGGTAATTTGAAAACTTAATAAGATCCTACTACGAAATGAAGATAGAGGCTATTCAATCTAACGGACAGAATTAAAATGCATCAGGTCCATCAATAAGCTGTATGTGATTCTCACACAAGAATTAGGGCACCTAATTACTTATAGAAAAAAAATCTCTGCAGATTATTATTAAGCGTCAATTCTATACGTTGCGAACATTTTAATGGGGTAGGGACTACGCAACGCTATAAATAAACGGCCAAAAAAAATGACTGAGTGTTATATTGACACAAATAGTTCTTAATAAACCATTCTCGGTGAGTTGTCCTTTGGCTGTGTTTAAAAGTATTCGAATAAATGTTCTAAAATTTAGCCGAGCATTCAGGCCTAAAGCCGATACCGTGGCGCTAGCTTTATAGTGCTGTTTAACAGACGAACAAATTTAAGAGGATGTCATGGTTGACTTCCTCATATCGAAATACTGTATTATATATATATATATATATATATATATATATATATATATATATAGTTAACCATTGTCTCAGATCTTCTAAGAGTTTTCGCCGTGCGCAATAATAACATGGAGCGGTAGCTGTAGTTAATATGAATTTTCGGTTATCCAATTGATGACTTATGACGACGGCGGTTATTTTTCAATCAATTTTAGAACACAATTTTAGATAATACAATAATCACTAGACGTGCGAGTCCTCTTACTTCAGATCTATTACCATAGTAATGTATAGGCTTCGATATGTGAGATCCTAGCTGACGTGTGTATACCTCATAGTCGTACTAGTTAGATACTAGTTAATATATGGGACCTGACTTTCCAGATGAGCTACTCTACACACGTGACTGTCTATCAAATCTTGAGGCGTATCGTCACGACATTCCTGCTGATACGTATGAGGGATGCCGTGCAGCGGCGGAAGCCCCCAAACTCGCCGTTTTCGTTGAAAACAATGTGAAGGAGTGGGAGCTTAAGAGGTGAGCCATTGCAAACGAGAGAGTAAAAATCTAGCATAGATAATCATCATGTGGAATTGACCTGTAAATATACACTACTCACTGTCTTCCACCAGGAGCTTCTGTCATCGTATATGCGAATAATCCTTTTATGACCCGTTACTGTCTCGTATATAGTAACTAATAATAAATACACTGTTGGAGGCTATCGTCATTAATTTAGCCTTTACTAGCAAAATAGTGCCGAAGGCTTGGTTTGTGATGAGCGTTCTCGACAGCGAATCGTTGCGTTGGTCCTGGGGTTGGCTAAGGCGCCTCGGACGAATATGCCTTAACAGTAATCGAATTTTAAGCGAACTAGTTGATATGCGTAAAACAATACCGAAATAGAGTAACACCCAACGACTACGGTTGACAGATGATATTGTTTCACAGAGGAATCAGAGATAGGCTCTAATGTGATACATGTATCCCAAGCTTTGAAATACGGCCTCGATTATATTGATCTTCTACAAATACTCTAGGCAGTGCTATGTAACTGTTTCCATGTGTTCACTTAGCATTTGCTTTTTGTATTTTGACGTCTCTCAGCCAAGCTAATTTATCAGTTTTTTAGAGTACGTTTCTAGCCAAGAAGAAAGTCTCCAGTTTAATCTAGCCGTCCCGGTGTTCAGTGGTTCCCAACACGAACTGGATTTATGTTATCGATCTGACCATTAACACATGCGTGTATTTGCGGATGTTTAGTTTCGTAAATGTGTCAGCAATAATACAGTCTATAGATATCTTTTTGCACAACCACGTTTGTAGCACGAATGCAGGTTCTATTTTGTTGCCCCTTCCTGTCGGCGCTACCTTTGAGTCGGATTCGGTACTATGGCAATAATAGTATTATTTATGTTGCTACTTTTTTTTAGTGTGTCCTTTGCGCTACAGCTTGGCGTTTTGCCCGTACATGGAACGAAGGATCGTAGCCTTTATCATCCCTGATCCCTGTCTGATTAGAATTCTGCAAAGATCAAGGATGATAGTATCGGCTAGAGCTGGGCCTTCAGCTCTTTTATTTAGCTCCTTAAATAGTTCGCAATTTAGAATTATGTCCAGTTGACGCAGGGACGTATATCTTCGCTATTGTTACTATACGGCCTGAAGGCATGTCGTTATAGATGTCATCGTTGACAGATGTTGTGCTTTTAAGCATTGGTATTTACTTCATAATTCGTGAAGTTTGTCGCGCGCGCGCGCGCGGCAAATTACAGAGTGTGTATCTGTGTGCGGAGTCTATAACAGCTTCGACGTTTTCCGTATTGGCTATAACTTTTAATACGATTGTTGCGCTCGCTAATTGACAAGGCGCGATTCATTCAATTAGCATTTAAATAAGGATACATAAGCGGTTATCATTCCACCCGCTTATAGTTTGAACAGGTTCATCCGAAGACAAGGGTAAGTTCGCTTGTCTCCTACGAGCGAACTTACCCTTGTCCTCCGATGAGTGAGTTCTTTTCTTGCAAAAGCTTCGATCAAGACGATTTTATTAGTAAATGGTGTCGCTTCTAGCGGTAGTTTCTATATAGCACAAATTGCAATACAGAGACGACTACCAAAAGATGCACAATTTTTGTAAATAAATAGTAGTTTGTTTGTGTCATTATGTAGTTAAAATATTAATTTTAAAACATATATTATTACTTATTTGATTGTAACTATTTATACATTACCGAAATTAAATCGAATACAGGGACTATTATGACAAGGTCGACTATTGTTTCTGTGAGTTCTGGCACTGGTGTAATTCCGCGTCGTCTGCACAGTGGAACACATCCCTTTTGGCTGGTTCATTTCTGCTAGTGTGGCTCAGCCGAAAATTCTGACGGCTATAGAATTTGCAGAGCTTGCTTTTATAGCAAAGCCCGCGCCCGTCGTGATGGACTTTGTCAGGGAATTAGAATTGACATTACTAGCGAAACGATCTTGGAACGCTGTTGTGCCTGAACGACATTTATAGCTACACGCACATAACGGGACAACGGTCGGCATCCTTGCTCGCGTTCATTGGTGTGACGTTAAGAATACAGACATTGCGGCATCTTCATAGCAAGATTGTATCGCATCTGCCGTATTTAGTCCTCAAGAAGACTCTGACGGTTAGCACTGGAGCAAACTAGAAGCGTTATAGGTGACTCAGTAAACAAGCAGTACATCGAACTGCGAGCACTGATCTTGCTGAACATTGTATACGAAAATGACTGTGTAATCTGTGCCAACACCAATGGCTAGCGGTCGGTCATCTAACGAGAGACGTGATATCTTCCAATATGTGTAGAAAGCTACATGTGATGAACAAAATTAACCCGAAGTGTTAGCGTCGCTTTGTTGTGTGAAAATGCATATGGCGTTAAAACCAGAGAGGCTATAGGAAGGTCGCCATGTTGAACGAAGTAACTGTTATGTGGTTTCTCATGTAGGATACGAAATTATTTTGATAGTAGGTGAAATATAAGCGTTTTCTATGTGTCTAGAGTTACTGAACCCAATACAGATGCTTAAGTTCTTCTTGTGCGAACGTTTAGTTTTATGATTTTTCTAATACAGCATTTGATAGTTCACATTGTTTTTCGAAGCACACCGAACGCCATCATTTGAACAAATGCAAATGTTTATTTTTTCAAAACAATAACAATGACAAAACTCCTCTAAGGGTTTCGTACGATGTTGTTGGGCCTGCGATTTGTGTGTTCGCCGTATGAAAAAAAAATATAGCCAAGTTTAAACAGAAAAACATTCGTTTTTTTGGTTCTCGAAGTATGTCCGAAGAGTATATTCTCTTGTCTCGATTAGAGGATCTCCCGCCAAGCTACAGTTTTCTCTCGATAGAACTACACGAAAACACTTATTAAAAAAAAAAATGCAGCGTCGTCGATTCTATCAAACGATAGCTCGTATATTCGGAGTACACAAACGTGTAAAAAATACAAATATCGATAATGATTTCGGGTTTCGGTAACAAGTACAACATTTATATAGCAAAGAAATTATAAATATGACATGTGTACACAGAGGCAGTTAGTTGGGCCTATTGGAGATATAGTTCAGGGTGTACAGCCTAGCTATCATAGTACATTTAGTTGTCAAATCGTATAGAAGAGAGTTCGTGTATGTTTTTTCATAGGTACATATGGAAGACTGACGTACTGTACGACTGCCCCATAAGCTTAGGTTATGCCATTTACACTTACATATAGGTGTGTTGCAATATTGACAAATAAAGGTATTTTTGTTTATGACTAATAGCATCTAGTCCTTCTTCTGCCTTCGAAAGATGCGTCAATAAGCACAAAATGATGTAGCTCTTATGCTCTAAGTTAGATTTTGTATGGCAAAGAATATGCAGGTCGGCTTAATGGGATCAAGTTAGCCAAGTGAGATATAAATAAATCTGTGCGTTTCAGCAGACCTGTCGTTCATAACTGCAATCAGAGTAGCTGTAGAAAATTCGTTATATATTGGTGAAGACTTCCCTATGAAATTACCTTTCAAAAAAGCAAATCTAAAAATGTAAAATGTCTAAACCGCAGTCGCATCTATCGCTTCTATAGCCTGCGTCTATCGCTTCAGGACACGTGCGTGTTCTATCGCGGATTGATCTGGACCGGGTTATTTTGTCACCGTGACGAAATGCGGATTTCAAGAACTTCCTGAAAGCGACTATGGCAACAGTCAGAGTTCATATCGGCTTACTTCTTTCAACGATCGGGGTGACATACACTCAAATATTTGGGGATATAGCATATACGGGTAATGGTGTGATTGAGGACCTAATAGACAAGGCTTAGGGAAAATACTCTCAGGCCTCGTCTGAGTAGCCTGGCTGCATACACGAATTTGACTGTAGGCCAATGATGAGGTTGGATATAAATCGCTCATCTGCTAGCGCCTCAACCAGTTCTGGTGTTATTGATTTCAATAGGGAAAATAAATAGCAGAAAAAGTAAAATTGTAGTGAATAAATGACCATATATTTCAAATGCTCGTTTGGTTAATAAAAAGAATAAATCCTAGGGTGAATACACGTTTTGAAAAATATAGAACGTTATATTTTCGTTGGATTATAGTCGAATTTTGGTATTAAGTTGACCATGTTGAATTCTTGATGAGTTCAAGATTCTTGATGAGACGAACGATGAAATGTACTTTGAAAGTACAGCCAAAGCACGCAGGAATTCTAGCATAATTCCAGTAGAATGTCGTTATTTCTTTTAATTCAATAACGGTCTAGGCTGTAGTACGAAACTAACTTTTCACATATATATTTCCTTTAAGTTCAACTACAAAAAAACAATGTTATACCGCTTTCGAATCGCACATTTAATATAATATTATAGGGGTACTGTTGACTAACAAAAATAATGAATCCTATCCCCAATAGGTGCGAGCAAAAATAGTGTGATTACGTGTGTTGATATAATTAGAAAATGCTTCCCGCAGATGTTTTTTAGAATAATGTCTTGAATCGTATGACCTATATTCGATACGTATTGCTACCCACATCCGAGCAGCTTGTCCGTAACCGTCAACAGCATACATGACCCAACAGAATGCTGTGATGGGTCACAAAACGTATTCATCACCATCGTTATAGGTTAAAGCGGTATCCGATGCAGTGGTAATACGAAGACATCCTTGCAGGTTTCTAATAGAGAGGCAGCCCCTTCTTCTTCTTCTTACCAGCCTCAAACTGCGTAGTAACTGCTAACTATTGGCAAACTGTAGCTTGCATTAATGGTAACAGCAGCCACCAGCTAAATCATGTCGGCCGAGAGCCCTGCACTGCGCGATTTGGTGGCCTTCAGCACCCCAGCAACGGCTTGCCACCTCCGCGACCTTTCCTTGCGCCATCTATGCAGTAGTTTAACCCGCTAGCGCCGACAACCTCTCGTCGTGGCAGACTAGAAAGGCCTAACCTTGAAAAGTCATCAAGCAACGAACTCTGACATCCCTCCTTCGACGCAAAGGCCAAAGCCAATATAATTTCGTTCGGATGTTCGAATCTTGCTCTAGCCGTTACCGCTGCATCACTTTGCAGTTTGGTCCATTCCAAACCTTCCGATTGGTTGTGCTGATGTTGGTTAATGTCGCCTCCTAACCTCTACTGCTGCCGTACTTCCTTCTGTCTTTCGATCTAGCTGCCTCTAAGTAAAATCTCTTATATGCTGTGTCGTTTCGCCGCTGATGCCACAGTCTCACCTCGTCTAGTACTCTTTCTGCCTACCGCTATTACTGCTGTCGCGTACGTCACAAGAGCTTTGCCCCTCACTCTCTTAATCTCCCTTTGCTGTTCCCGGTAAAAGATCCTTCACCCAGGTCAGACAGACGTAGGCGTCGTATTATTGCTTTCTCCCGTCTGTTTTCTCTCCCATTCTCATTGTTGCCCCCACTATCGTGGAACCGACGAGCGGCTTCTTTGCCCTCGCTTGAAGCCTTAAAAACACACTTTTTGGTACACTTGCCTACACTAGCAACGTACGTATGGATACGGTACACAGAGGGCTTACATGGACTAGCAGCAATTATCGTGGACCTGCTCAGTAATGTTGCTAGGTGGCAAAGCTAAAGGGTAATGCGGCAGTTTCGGGAATCTTAGCAGTGTTTTTTCTGCAATAATGCGGACTGTCACTAGCTACTATAGAGTACTGCTTACGTCCGCTTAGCGTGCCATACACTTCCATACATTTACAGACACATACATATACAGCTCTTTTAGCGCTCTGCTCTTTGAGTTGTACTCACTTCCTATTCTCCGGCGTACTGTTTTCTTACTCCTGCACGACCGCTCCTTTTTGCACACATTCTCTTTGGACCCCTCTTTTTCTGGTGTCGCTCTTGCCACGATCTCTCTCCTTCCTCTGTGATCTCCTTTCCCAAGGTCTTGAGAAGCATCCTATGCAGCGTCTGCTGCCGCCGCCGCCGCCGCCGCCGATGATGCTGTTATTTTGAAGGCAAGAGCCTCATTACGCGTGATTAACCCCAGCCAGTGGGGGTTATTATAGCCAACACTATCCGGGCCCAAAGTTTAGCTTAGCTTGCGTGATCAGACGAGAACCGGCGCATTCAACTTGCTATAACCAATGGCCCATAGCATAACCGCACTGTCGCCGCCATTACCGCCACCGTTACAACCATTTCGTCGTCGTCGTCGTCGACGTCGTGGTGGTTCCACTACCCTCTGCTTCGTTGTCCTCTCTACTGAATTCAGATCGATCACGGATCACGCATGCGCAATCCTGGTCGCCACGGCGCGGTCGCGGAGTACGCGCGGACATCAACAAGCCGACTACTAACACCGCACTGGCAGACTGACTGCGCTCGAATAGCAGCGCCGTTTTGGTCCCCGTCTGCACCAGCACACGACTGACAGCTCGGATAAGGGTGGGTCACTTTTTCTGTGTGAGCGTGTTCGTCCAGTGGGTATTATTGCCAGGCTACACTCCCAGCCGACCGTTCTGTGCTTCTGATTGAGAACGAGTGTGCCACGCCTTCGCAAAAGTGACCGTCATCTATCACTACTAATAGCCAAAGAAACGGGCGCACCGGCGCTCAAGGATTGCTGACTCGACGGCAAAGTCAGTACATAGAGAATCGAACGAACGCCATTGTCATTACTGGCTATAATTGTTCGAAAGAAGTCAGGTGAAGTTCGGTTTGAATAGTCCCGCCTCTGTAACGGACGAAGGAAGTGAGTGGGTGCGTAAGCCCGCGACGCGGGCTTGGCAAATCTAGTCTTTTTCGGTTCACCTTACCTCGGTACTCGAGCTCTTTTATGCGCATATAAATATTTGTCTCTGTGAATTTCGCGAGGAGAGCGATCATCGTGGCCTAACGAATACAACAACGAGTGCTGACTACGAGAAAGTTACGTGGCTGCTTCGGAAAAAAGGTCACTGTTCACTGAGTTGGGTCTGTAAGGGAATCGTTGTACTGCGCGAGTTGTCTTTCCGGTGTTTCGGTAGAGTGTCATCGACGGAATCGGTTTCTGACCCACATGGAAAATGATCACCGTTAACCACTGTATCAGCTTGGCGGCCACCTCCCTGCAGGCGTACTATTACCGTCGCCTCAGCAAGACAGGTATAAGCTGTGTAACAATATATTAGATTAGACTGGGAAAAAAACAAACAGCGGAAAGCCCAATGCAAACAGCGAGGGTCACGTGTTTAAATACGGATTGGAGCAAAATCATTACATTTGTATATCTGCTTTTGGGTTGACACATCTCAATAATAATGTTCCTTCAAAAAGGTAACATCCGACAACAAATTCAGTTTCAGAAATATAAGGTCAAATATAAGCCAGACGTTATATTGCTGTGTCTGGGAATGCCTGCAAAAAAAAAGGTACAATAGGAACGTTGACTGCGATTGACGCTAGATGGGTCCGAGACTGGCATGTTAATTTCATAAATCTCTATTTTAGTTAACTGTACTTGTAAATCTTATCTATACATTTCTTATCTATCTGTTTGTCTTATGAGAATAATGGCGATTGCTTTAAGAACAATTTATCATGTCAGAACTGGAACCGAAGAGAGGAAACGGGAACCTGACGAAAGGGCCCTGAACGTTTTCATTATGTCTGAATCACCGAAAGTATGTTTGTGCAGAACCTAAAAGCGCTGATATCGAAGCTTCAACCGAATGGTGACTTATGTCTATGATGGATAAATTTTACCCCAGAATTACGCTCGTAGTGAGTGCGAAGAAAGGTTTTATTTTGCGAGCAAAAGCTGCCTGCTTGTTAAGAGCACCTGGAGTCGTAGATCCTTTATATAGGTTTAACCTTTTAACTGACCTGAATCCGTGTAATGCCAATGTTCCTGATTGGTCTCTAAAATCACTTTTCCTTGTATATATAAAAAAAAAAGCAAGCGCTAATAACATCTCATGTAAAACTGTTTAGGTTACAGAACTTCAACTGGAAAATGTCCGACATTGTAGATTTCTATATTACGTTCTAGATGATGTTTATCTAAAACGACTGACATGGTTATTACAGTTTGTGACGAATAGGTTTCATCAACACAAAAACTGATTTTATCACTTGCTCTATAGATTTCCAAAGTTTTCGTATTGGTTTATCTATGGCGTAAGCATAACCCGTGTGATCTGTGTACTGGATATTCACGTACATTGCCCAGAGAACAAGCTATCTATGTGCCGCGTATGCTTCTAACTGCGACTTGCCGGAAAACTACAGCCCGAGGCTACTGAATATGCGGGGCAAAAATGGATCTTTTACCATGTGTGCTTTTGGGCCCAGGGTTATTGCCCTTCTACACATGGCTCTTCCTGACGCACGTACTAGAATTACAAAAAAACAAAGTAATATAGTAGAATTCAATAAGTTAACATCAATGTAAGATTCTGGATAAAAACTTTTTTGATAGATTTATTTAGAGATCTACGACTTTAATCGACAACAACAATTTCGGCAGTTGCAGCAAAGGCAGGTATTTGATTAGAAAGGTCGTGCCTACTGGAGTTTTATCTACAAAGCCCCTAGCCATAA